CAGAGATATTATCATAAGTCAGCTTGCAGATGACACCACCCTCTTTTCCAAAGCATCTGGTTTTTGCCTAAACCTTAATACGTGTGAATTGTTTGCTGTTAAAGACTGTGATACCCTCTATCTGCAATATTCCAGTCAAGGAAAAAGTAACATACCTTGGGATTACCATACAGTGAGGGAAAAAAGTATTTGATCCCCTGCTGATTTTGTATGTTTGCCCACTGACAAAGAAATGATCAGTCTATAATTTTAATGGTAGGTTTATTTGAACAGTGAGAGACAGAATAACAACAAAAAAATCCAGAAAAACACATGTCAAAAATGTTATAAATTGATTTGCATTTTAATGAGGGAAATAAGTATTTGACCCCCTCTCAATCAGAAAGCTTTCTGGCTCCCAGGTGTCTTTTATACAGGTAACGAGCTGAGATTAGGAGCACACTCTTAAAGGGAGTGCTCTTAACCTCAGCTTGTTACCTGTATAAAAGACACCTGTCCACAGGAAGCTATCAATCAATCAGATTCCAAACTCTCCACCATGGCCAAGACCAAAGAGCTCTCCAAGGATGTCAGGGACAAGATTGTAGACCTACACAAGGCTGGAATGGGCTACAAGACCATCGCCAAGCAGCTTGGTGAGAAGGTGACAACAGTTGGTGCGAATATTCGCAAATGGAAGAAACACAAAATAACTGTCAATCTCCCTCGGCCTGGGGCTCCATGCAAGATCTCACCTCGTGGCGTTGCAATGATCATGAGAACGGTGACGAATTAGCCCAGAACTACACGGGAGGATCTTGTCAATGATCAAGGCAGCTGGGACCATAGTCACCAAGAAAACAATTGGTAACACACTATGCCGTGAAGGACTGAAATCCTGCAGCGCCCGCAAGGTCCCCCTGCTCAATAAAGCACATATACAGGCCGTCTGAAGTTTGCCAATGAACATCTGAATGATTCAGAGGAGAACTGGGTGAAAGTGTTGTGGTCAGATGAGACCAAAATCGAGCTCTTTGGAATCAACTCAACTCGCCGTGTTTGGAGGAGGAGGAATGCTGCCTATGACCCCAAGAACACCATCCCCACCGTCAAACATGGAGGTGGAAACATTATGCTTTGGGGGTGTTTTCTGCTAAGGGGACAGGACAACTTCACCGCATCAAAAGGGATGATGGACGGAGCCATGTACCGTCAAATCTTGGGTGAGAATCTCCTTCCCTCTGCCAGGGCATTGAAAATGGGTCGTGGATGGGTATTCCAGCATGACAATGACCCAAAACACACGGCCAAGGCAACAAAGGAGTGGCTCAAGAAGAAGCACATTAGGTCCTGGAGTGGCCTAGCCCATCTCCAGACCTTAATCCCATAGAAAATCTGTGGAGGGAGCTGAAGGTTCGAGTTGCCAAACGTCAGCCTCGAAACCTTAATGACTTGGAGAAGATCTGCAAAGAGGAGTGGGACAAAATCCCTCCTGAGATGTGTGCAACCTGGTGGCCAACTACAAGAAACTTCTGACCTCTGTGATTGCCAACAAGGGTGTTGCCACCAAGTACTAGGTCATGTTTTGCAGAGGGGTCAAATACTTATTTCCCTCATTAAAATGCAAATTAATTTATAACATTTTTGACATGTGTTTTTCTGGAATTTTGTTGTTGTTATTCTGTCTCTCACTGTTCAAATAAACCTACCATTAAAATTATAGACTGATCATTTCTTTGTCAGTGGGCAAACATACAAAATCAGCAGGGGATCAAATACTTTTTTCCCCTCACTGTATCTAAGGATCAACAGGAAAGATGCTCATTATTATTGAAAAAAAAAAAAAAGAAGTTGAACCATTGGTTGCAGAGGGACTTATCCTTGAAAGGTCGAGTATTGCTTTCTAAAGCTGAAGGTATCTCCAGACTTACTTACGCAGCTCAGTCCCTACATCAACCTGTATGAATATGGTGGTCTCAATTTCTTTAGATTTTCCTACTTTGAATAATACTTTTAAGATAAATTGGGCTAAACATTTCTTAAAGAATCCAACTTCAATTTGGAATTTCATCCCTCATATCTTCTCCCGTTTTGGTGGCTTCAATTTTATTTTACTTTGTAACTATAACATTGATAAGATTCCTACAAAATGATCTGCTTTTCATAGACAAGTATTGTTAGTGTGGTCATTAATACAGTTGAAGTCGGAAGTTTATATACACTTAGGTTGGAGTCATTAAAACTTGTTTTTCAAGCACTCCACAAATTTCTTGTTAACAAACTATCGTTTTGGCAAGTCGGTTAGGACATCTACTTTGTGCATGACACAAGTCATTTTACCAACAATTGTTTACAGACAGATTATTTCACTTATAATTCACTGTATCACAATTCCAGTGGGTCAGAAGTTTACATACACTAAGTTGACTGTGCCTTTAAACAGCTTGGAAAATTCCAGAAAATGATGGCATGGCTTTAGAAGCTTCTGATAGGCTAATTGACATCATTTGAGTCAATTGGAGGTGTACCTGTGGATGTATTTCAAGGCCTACCTTCAAACTCAGTGCTTCTTTGCTTGACATCATGGGAAAATCAAAAGAAATCAGCCAAGACCTCAGAAAAAAAAGTGTAGACCTACACAAGTCTGGTTCATCCTTGGGAACAATTTCCAAATGCCTGAAGGTACCACGTTCATCTGTACAAACAATAGTACGCAAGCATAAACACCATGGGACCACGCAACCGTCATACCGCTCAGGAAGGAGACGCATTCTGTCTCCTAGAGATGAACGTACTTTGGAGCGAAAAGTGCAAATCAATCCCAGAACAACAGCAAATGACCTTGTGAAGATGCTGGAGGAAACAGGTACAAAAGTATCTATATCCACAGTAAAATTATTCCTTTATCGACATAACCTGAAAGGCCGCTCAGCAAGGAAGAAGCCACTGCTCCAAAACCACCATAAAAACGACAGACTACAGTTTGCAACTGCACATGGGGACAAAGATCGTACTTTTTGGAGAAATGTCCTCTGGTCTGATGAAACAAAAAGATAACCGTTTGGCCATAATGACCATCATTATGTTTGGAGGAAAAAGGGGGTCTCTTGCAAGCCGAAAAAACACCATCCCAACCTTGAAGCACAGGGGTGGCAGCCTCATGCTGTGGGGGTACTTTGCTGCAGGGGGGACTGGTGCATTTCACAAAATAGATGGCATCATGAGGAAGGACAATTATATTGAAGCAACATCTCAAGACATCAGTCAGGAAGTTAAAGCTTGGTCGCAAATGGGTCTTCCAAATGGACAATGAACCAAGCATACTTCCAAAGTTGTGGCAAAATGGCTTAAGGACAACAAAGTCAAGGTATTGGAGTGGCCTCAATCCTATAGAACATTTGTGGGCAGAACTGAAAAAGCATGCGTGAGCAAGGAGGCCTTCAAACCTGACTCAGTTACACCAGCTCTGTCAGGAGGAATGGGCCAAAATTCACCCAACTTATTGTGGGAAGCTTGTGGAAGGCTAGCCGAAACATTTGACCCAAGTTAAACAATTTAAAGGCAATGCTACCAAATACTAATTGAGTGTATGTAAACTTTTGACCCACTCGGAATGTGATGAAAGAAATAAAAGTTTAAATAAATCATTCTCTCTACTATTATTCTGACATTTCACTTACTTAAAATAAAGTGGTGGTCCTAACTGACCTAAAAGAGGGAATTCTTACTAGGATTAAATGTCAGGAATTGTTTTAAAACTGAGTTTAAATGTATTTGGCTAAGGTGTATGTAAACTTCCGACTTCAACTGTATATAAAAACAAATCCACGTATAGGTATTTCATTTGGAACAATAAGGATATTTTGTATAGAAACAAGTCTTTATTTTTTAAGAACTGGTTTAATAATCATATCCTGCTGGTGAGTCAACTTTTTAATGCAGAAGGATTGTTACTCAATTATGAGGAATTTTTATCTCGTTACAATATCCCTGTTACACCTAGAGTTCGCAATAGTCTCTGATGCTATTCCATCTGGAACTCTCATGTTGTTTAGAGGTGTAACCAGAACCTACATTCTTGAGCTACCCTCACTTAATCCAGTTGACTCCAATAGGAAAAATGTGTTTCTCCATGCTCCCTCAGAACAACAGGTCTATACGTGCTTTATTTCAAAGGGATATTGTATCTATTGCTTATGATGTCACAACTTACTGGAATACATTTGTCAATAATATCTGTTGGAAAAAACCCTGGTTATTACCACACAAATACCTGCTTGTTAACAAGGTCAAAGAGGTCTCTTTCAGAATTATCCATAAGTATTACCCTGCAAATCATTACCTGAAGAAACTCCAAAAATACATTAACATTAACTGTACTTTTTGTGTTGAGCATCCAGAAACAGTTTTGCATTTATTTTGGCGCTGTCTACAAGTAAAGAAATTATGGCAAGATATTTCTAGTTTTATAATTGTAAATATTATTGATGACTTTTGTTTATTATGGGACAACGTGCTGCTCGGTTTCCTTAACTATAATAAGGATAAATATTAATTTTTTTACCTCATAAATCTAATTGTGCTAATGGTAAAATGGCATATTCATAAATGTAAATTCACTAATAAAAAAACCCTCTTCCATGTTTTCTATAAGGAATTCGAGCAGTACATTAAGACCATTCTACATTCTTCCAATAAGAAAGCTGTTAAAACAATCAATGCATGTGTATCTTTTAAGGTCTTTGTATAATCTGTACTTTGTTGTACCCCATAGCATATGTTATCATTGTCTGTTTGTATACTTCTTGTATGTATACTGATGTTTCTGCAAAAAAAATATTATAATTTTTAAAAAGAGGCCCAACTCGGCCCAAAATCTGTCTTCTCCAAATTAAAAATGTATAACTAAATAAATAAAAATAACTGTGGAAACGCAAACAAAATTTCAAAAAATATCTATATATTTTTTCTAATAAAAAATATATTGTTCTACAGTTCATGACATGACAGTGTGGACACCGTAACCCAGCCTCGATCTCAATGAAGGTCTTGGAGAATACCACCGAGTCCCCTTTGACGTCCACACCGTGGGCCTGGCACAGCTGGGTGTTGGGGGGGACATCCAGGGCCAGGATGTAGGCCATCTTGTGGAGGGGGAAGCTGCAGTTCTTGCTGCTGTGGCTGTGGCTGTGGAGTAGCAGCAGGTCAATGCGACAGGCCTCCAGGTGCCGGCGCAGGGCACAGCTCTGCAGGAAGTCCAGTCTGTGGGCCAATTGGAGGAGTCATACATGGTTGCGATCCATGAAGGACCGGCTAACTGATAGGGTCAGACACACGGCAGGGTGGAGCGGATCCGCTCTGGCAGCTCCATTGTGTGCTTTGTGGTATAGACTGAACCTGGATGATGATACAGGAATTGTATAGAAATGTAAGTCTGCTTGGAGAGAAGACACACCATAACGAATGAAGGTATTGCACAGTAGAATCGTCATACGATGTTCTGTGGTTAGAGGGCGATAATCTGTTGATTTTCAGTACACTCTGCTGTCAGTTTCTCTAATAGAGATCCTATTAAAATTACTATAGGGGCTATGTCATAAACCCTCAAAGTTCCAGAATGGGGAAAGGGAGAAATCCAAAACCATTCTATACTGAACAAAAGTGTTGGTCCCATGTTTCATGAGCTGAAATAAAAAATCCCAGAAATGTTTCACTCACAAAAATGTTATTTCTCTCAAATTTTGTCCACAAATGTGTTTATGTCCCTGTTAGTGAGCATTTCTCCTTTGCCAAGATAATCCATCCACCTGACAGGTGTGGCATAACAAGAAGCTGATTAAACAGCATGATCATTACACAGGTGCACCTTGTGCTGGGGACAATAAAAGGCCACTTGAAAATGTGCAGTTGTCACATAACACAATGCCACAGATGTCTTAAGTTGAGGGAGCGTGCAATTGGCATGCTGACTGCAGGAATGTCCAGCAGAGCTATTGTCAAATAATTTAATGTTAATTTCTCTACCATCAGCTGCGTTTACGTCATTTTAGATAATTTGGCAATACATCCAACCGGCCTCACAACCGCAGACCACGTGTAACCACGCCAGCCCAGGACCTCCACATCCGTGGGATCTGAGGAGTATTTCTGTCTGTAATAAAGCCCTTTTGTGGGGAAAAACTAATTCTGATAAGCTGGGCCTGGCTCCCCAGTAGGCCCACTCAGGCCTTGGCTGCACCCCTGCCCATTCATTTGAAATCCATAGATTAGGGCCTAATGAATTTATTTCAATTGACCGATTTCCTTATATGAACTACAGGAAGGTAGCTCTCCAGGAACATGTTTGGAGAGCCCTGACCTAGGACACCAACAGCCAGCCAGGGTTTCATTAAATAAGCTATAGGCAATACTTTTTATTGCACATTTACGCCTAATTAAACTGACGCATTTGGCGATGTTTAACTTCAATACACTGGCACAATGAAGAAAAGCTTAGCCATACTCATTGATAGCCTAATACTGTATATACTTTAATATACTTTTGGTGAATGTACGAGGCATTGCTAGATACAGATTACCAAGATATACAGTGCCTTCGGAAAGTATTCAGACCCCTTGACCTTTTCCACATTTTGTTACATTACAGCCTTATTCTAAAATTTCTTAAATAAAAATCCTCAGCAATCTACACACAATAACCCATAATGATAAAGCGAAAACAGGTTCTTAGAAATTCTTGCACATTTTTTACAAATTAAAAAAAGAAATACCGTATTTACATAAGTATTCAGATCCTTTGCGATGAGACTCGAAATTTCCAGTGATCATCCTTGAGATGTTTCTACAACTTGATTGGAGTCCACCTGTGGTTAATTCAATTGATTGGACATGATTTGGAAAGGCACACACCTGTCTATATAAAGGTCCCACAGTTGACAATGCATGTCAGAGCAAAATCCAAGCCATGAGGTCGAAGGAATTGTCCGTAGAGCTCCGAGACAGGATTGTGTCGAGGCACAGATCTGGGGAAGGGTACCAAAACATTTCTGCATCATTGAAGGTCCCCAAGAACACAGTGGCCTCCATCATTCTTAAATGGAAGAAGTTTGGGACCCCCAAGACTCTTCCTAGAGCTGGCTGCCCGGCCAAACTGAGCAATTGGTGGAGAAGGGCCTTGGTCAGGGAGGTGACCAAGAACCCAATGGTCACTCTGACAGAGCTCTAGAGTTCCACTGTGGAGATGGGAGAACCTTCCAGAAAGACAACCATCTCTGCAGCACTCCACCAATCAGGCCTTTATGGTAGAGTGGCCAGACGGAAGCCACTCCTCAGTAAAAGGCACATGACAGCCCGCTTGGAGTTTGCCAAAAGGCACCTAAAGGACTCTCAGACCATGAGAAACAAGATTCTCTCGTCTGATGAAACCAAGATTGAACTCTTTGGCCTGAATGCCAAGCGTCACGTCTGGAGGAAACCTGGCACCATCCCTACGGTGAAGCATGGTGGTGGCAGCATCATGCTGTGTGGATGTTTTTCAGCGGCAGGGACTCGGAGACTAGTCAGGATCGAGGCAAAGATGAACGGAGCAAAGTACAGAGAGATCCTTGATGAAAACCTGCTCCAGAGCGCTAAGGACCTCAGACTGTGGCGAAGGTTCACCTTCCAACAGGACAACGAACCTAAGCACACAGCCAAGACAGCGCAGGAGTGGCTTCCGAACAAGTCTCTGAATGTCCTTGAGTGGCCCAGCCAGAGCCCGGACTTGAACCCGATCGAACATCTCTGGAGAGACCTGAAAATAGTTGTACAGCAACGCTCCCCATCCAACCTGACAGAGCTTGAGAGGATCTGCAGAGAAGAATGGGAGAAACTCCCCAAATACAGGTGTACCAAGCTTGTAGCGTCATACCCAAGAAGACTCAAGGCTGTAAACACTTATGTAAGTGTCATATTTCAGGTTTTTATTCAAAAAGCCTGTTTTTGCTTTGTCATTATGTGGTATTGTGTGTAGATTGTTGAGGGGAAAAAACAATGTAATCAATTTTACAATAAGGATGTAACGTAACAGAATGTGGAAAAAGTCAAGGGGTCTGAATACTTTCCGAATGCACTGTAGCCTATGCACACGGTTCTGACTGTCTCTCTGCCCCGATCCGCTCTCTTCCTCACCTGCTCCTCTTTCTCTTCGCTATGAAACACGCTAGTATGTTTGGTGTTCGGTCTGTTGAGTGTAGAATAGCTCAGCCTACTCATCGATAGCCTCTCCTTTAGTGAAATTGCGCAAGACATTGCAAGCCAATAAATTGCAAAATACAGCATTGTGATAGCTATAGCCTACATCTTTTGATTAACGATGTATGGTTCTGACTGTCTGCCTGGTGGCCGGCATGCTTACCTATGCCTGACCGTGCCCCTCCCATCTCTCTCTCCCTCGCTAGCTTGCTCTTTCTTTGCTGTGAAATATGCGAGAGCTCATGTTCTTGTGATTCAATTCTATTTAAGAGTCGTGCTCTGTATGTCAGCTATCTGAATTAACACTGCAATTAACTAAATCAAATCAAATGTTATTTGTCACATACACGTGTTTAGCAGATGTTATAGCGGGCGTAGCGAAATGCTTGTGCTTCTAGCTCCGACAGTGGAGTAATATCTAACAAGTAATATCTAACAATTTCACAACATATACCTAATCCACACAAAACTAGTAAGGAATGGAATTTAAGAAAATATACATACAGTGGGGAGAACAAGTATTTGATACACTGCCGATTTTGCAGGTTTTCCTACTTACAAAGCATGTAGAGGTCTGTAATTTTTATCATAGGTACACTTCAACTGTGAGAGACGGAATCTAAAACAAAAATCCAGAAAATCACATTGTATGATTTTTAAGTAATTAATTTGCATTTTATTGCATGACATAAGTATTTGATACATCAGAAAAGCAGAACTTAGTATTTGGTACAGAAACCTTTGTTTGCAATTACAGAGATCATACGTTTCCTGTAGGTCTTGACCAGGTTTGCACACACTGCAGCAGGGATTTTGGCCCACTCCTCCATACAGACCTTCTCCAGATTCTTCAGGTTTCGGGGCTGTCGCTGGGCAATACGGACTTTCAGCTCCCTCCAAAGATTTTCTATTGGGTTCAGGTCTGGAGACTGGCTAGGCCACTCCAGGACCTTGAGATGCTTCTTACGGAGCCACTCCTTAGTTGCCCTGGCTGTGTGTTTCGGGTCGTTGTCATTCTGGAAGACCCAGCCACGACCCATCTTCAATGCTCTTACTGAGGGAAGGAGGTTGTTGGCCAAGATCTCGCGATACATGGCCCCATCCATCCTCCCCTAAATACGGTGCAGTTGTCCTGTCCCCTTTGCAGAAAAGCATCCCCAAAGAATGATGTTTCCAACTCCATGCTTCACGGTTGGGATGGTGTTCTTGGGGTTGTACTCATCCTTCTTCTTCCTCCAAACACGGCGAGTGGAGTTTAGACCAAAATGCTATATTTTTGTCTCATCAGACCACATGACCTTCTCCCATTCCTCCTCTGGATCATCCAGATGGTCATTGGCAAACTTCAGACGGGCCTGGACATGCGCTGGCTTGAGCAGGGGGACCTTGCGTGCGCTGCAGGATTTTAATCCATGACGGCGTAGTGTGTTACTAATGGTTTTCTTTGAGACTGTGGTCCCAGTTCTCTTCAGGTCATTGACCAGGTCCTGCCGTGTAGTTCTGTGCTGATCCTCACCTTCCTCATGATCATTGATGCCCCACGAGGTGAGATCTTGCATGGAGCCCCAGACCGAGGGTGATTGACCGTCATCTTGAACTTCTTCCATTTTCTAATAATTGCGCCAACAGTTGTTGCCTTCTCACCAAGCTGCTTGCCTATTGTCCTGTAGCCCATCCCAGCCTTGTGCAGGTCTACAATTTCATCCCTGATGTCCTTACACAGCTCTCTGGTCTTGGCCATTGTGGAGAGGTTGGAGTCTGTTTGATTGAGTGTGTGGACAGGTGTCGAGTTCAGATGAGTGGAGAACAGGAGGGCTTCTTAAAGAAAAACTAACAGGTCTGTGAGAGCCGGAATTCTTACTGGTTGGTAGGTGATCAAATACTTATGTCATGCAATAAAATGCAAATTAATTACTTAAAAATCATACAATGTGATTTTCTGGATTTTTGTTTTAGATTCCGTCTCTCACAGTTGAAGTGTACCTATGATAAAAATTACAGACCTCTACATGCTTTGTAAGTAGGAAAACCTGCAAAATCGGCAGTGTATCAAATACTTTTTCTCCCCACTGTATATGGACAAGCAATGACAGAGCAGCATGGACTAAGATACAGTAGAATATTATAGAATAGAATGCAGTATATACATATGAGATGAGTAGTGCAAGATATGTAAACATTATTAAAGTGACTAGTGTTCCATTTCTTAAAGTGGCCAATGATTTCAATAGGCAGCAGCAGCCTCTAATGTGCTAGTGATGGCTATTTAACAGTCTGATGGCCTTGAGATAAACAGCTTCTTTCATTCTCTCGGTCCCAGCTTTGATGCACCTGTACTGACCTCGCTTTCTGGATGATAGCGGGGTGAACAGGCAGTGGCTCGGGTGGTTGATGTCCTTGATGATCTTTTTGGCCTTCCTGTGACATCGGGTGCTGTATGTGTCTTGGAGGGCGGGTAGTTTGCCCCCGATATTGCGTTCGGCAGACCGCACCACCCTCTGGAGAGCCCTGCGGTTGCGGGCAGTGCAGTTGCCGTACTAGGTGGTGATACAGCCCGACAGGATGCTCTCAATTGTGCATCTGTAAAAGTTTGTGAGGGTTTTAGGTGACAAGCCAAATTTCTTCAGCCTCCTGATGTTGAAGAGGCTCTGTTGCATCTTCTTCACCACACTGTCTACGTGGGTGGACCATTTCAGTTTGTCTGTGATGTGTACGCTAAGGAACTTTAAGCTTTCCACCTTCTCCACTGCGGTCCCGTCGATGTGGATAGGGGGGTGCACCCTCTGCTTTTTCCTGAAGTCCACGATCATCTCCTTTGTTTTGTTGACGTTGAGTGAGAGGTTATTTTCCTGGCACCACACTCCCAGAGCCCTCACCTCCTCCCTGTAGGCGGTCTCGTCATTATTGGTAATCAAGCCTACTACAGTTGTGTCGTCTGCAAACTTGATGATTGAGTTGGAGGCGTGCTTGGCCACGCAGTCATGGGTGAACAGGGAGTACAGGAGGGGGCTAAGCACGCACCCTTGTGGGGCCCCAGTGTTGAGGATCAGCGAAGTGGAGATGTTGTTTCCTACCTTCACCACCTGGGGGGCGGCCCATCAGGAAGTCCAGGACCCAGTTGCACAGGGCGGGGTTCAGACCCAGGACCTCGAGCTTGATGATAAGCTTGGAGGGTACTATGGTGTTGAATACTGAGCTATAGTCAATGAACAGCATTCTTTCATAGGTATTCCTCTTGTCCAGATGGGATAGAGCAGTGTGCAGTGTGATGGCGATTGCATCGTCTGTGGATCTATTGGGGCGGTAAGCAAATTGAAGTGGGTCTAGGGTGACAGGTAAGGTAGAGGTGATATGATCCTTGACTAGTCTCTCAAAGCACTTCATGATGACAGAGGTGAGTGCTACAGGGCGATAGTCATTTAGTTCAGTTACCTTTGCTTTCTGTGCATGTGGGAACAGCAGACTGGGATAGGGAGAGATTGAATATGTCCATAAACACACCAGCCAGCTGGTCTGCGCATGCTCTGAGGACGCGGCTAGGGATACCGACAGGGCCGTCAGCCTTGCGGGGGTTAACATGCTTAAATGTCTTAATCACGTCGGCCACGGAGAAGGAGAGGCTACAGTCCTTGCTTGTGGGCCTCGTCAGTGGCACTGTGTTATCCTCAAAGTGGGCGAAGATGGTGTTTAGCTTGTCTGGAAGCGAGACGGCGGTGTTGGCGACGTGGCTGGTTTTCCTTTTGTAGTCTGTGATTGTCTGTAGACCCTGCCACATACGTCTCGTGTCTGAGCCGTTGAAATGCGACTCCACTTTGTCTCTATACTGATGTTTTGCCAGTTTAATTGTCTTGCGGAGTGAGTAGCTACACTGTTTGTATTCTGCCATATTCCCAGTCACCTTGCCATGGTTGAATGCGGTGGTTCGCGCTTTCAGATTGGCGCGAATGCTACCATCTGTCCACGGTTTCTGGTTAGGGTAGGTTTTAATAGTCACAGTGGGCACAACATCACCTATACACTTCCTGATAAACTCAGTCAACGTTTCAGTGTATTCGTCTAAATTATTTTCGGAAGCTACCCAGAACATATCCCAGTCCGCGTGATCAAAACAATCTTGAAGCGTGGATTCCGATTGGTCAGACCAGCGTTGAATAGTCCTTAGCACTGGTATTTCCTGTTTGAGTTTCTGCCTATAGGAAGGGAGGAGCAAAATGGAGTCGTGGTCAGATTTGCCGAAAGGAGGACGGGGGAGGGCCGTATTACCATCCCGGAAGTTCGAATAGCAATGGTCGAGGATTTTGGCAGCGCGAGTACAACAGTCGATATGTTGATAGAACTTTGGCAGCCTAGTCCTCAAATTTGCTTTGTTAAAATCCCCGGCTACAATAAATGCAGCCTCAGGATATGTGGTTTCCAGTTTGCATAAAGTCCAGTGAAGTTCTTTGAGGGCCGTCGTGGTATCGGCTTGAGGGGGGATATACACGGCCGTGACTATAACCGAAGAAAATTATCTTGGGAGATAATACGGTCTGCATTTGATTGTGAGATATTCTAGGTTGGGTGAACAAAAGGACTCGAGATCCTGTATGTTACTACAATTACACCATGAGTCGTTAATCATGAAACACACACCTCCGCCCTTTGCTTCCCGGAGAGATATTTATTCCTGTCTGCGCAATGAACTGAGAACCCCTCTGGCTGGACCGATTTCGACAGAATATCCCAAGAGAGCCAAGTTTCCGTGAAACAAAGTATGTTACAGGCCTTGATGTCTCGCTGGAAAGAAATCCTTGCCCGGAGTTCGTTGATCTTGTTAACCAAAGACAGAACATTAGCGAGTAGTATACTTGGAAGCGGTGGGTGGTGTGCGCACCTCCTAAGTCGAAACAGCAGGCCGCTCCGAGTGCCTCTCCTCCGCCGGCGATGTTTTGGGTCAGCCGCTGGAATCAGTTCAGTGTTCCTGGGGAGTGCAAACAAAGGATCTGCTTCGGGAAAGTCGTATTCCTGGTCGTAATGCTGGTGAGTTACCGCCGCTCTACCTATTCATAGTCTTTTACTAGTCCAAAAACAACTAGCTAGGACCCACCCAGGTTGTCTTGCATCTATGTGGGTAGGCAACATCACATCCACCATGCTGACCCTCAACACAGGGGTGTGTGCTTAGTCCCCTCCTGTACTCCCTGTTCCCCCACGATCGTGTGGCCATGCACGACTCCAACACCATCATCACGTTTGCTGACGACACGACGGTGGTAGGCCTGATCACCGGTGACGATGAGTCAGCCTACAGGGAGGAGGTCAGTGACCTGGCAGTGTGGTGCCAGAACAACAACCTCTCCCTCAATGTTAGTAAGACCAAGGAACTGATCGTGGACTACAGGAAACGGGGGGGCGAACACGCCCCCATCCACAGGGCCACAGTGGAGCAGGTTGAGAGCTTCAAGTTCCTCAGTGTCCAAATCACTAAAGAATTAAAATGGTCCAAACACACACGCAGTCGTGAAGAAGGCACGGCAGCGCCTCTTCCCCCTCAGGAGGTTGAACAAGTTTGGCATGGGCCCTCAAATCTTCAAAAGGTTGTACCATTGAGAGCATTTCGACAGGCTGCATCACTGCCTGGTATGGCAATAGCACCACCCTCGATCGCATGGCGCTACAGAGGGTGGTATGGACAGCCCAGTACATCACTTGGGTCGAGCTCTCTGCCATCCATGACATCTATATCAAGCGGTGTGGTAGGAAGGTCCAGAAAATCATTAAAGACTCCAACCACCCAAGCCATAGACTATTCTCTCTGCTTTCGCACGGCAAGCGGTACCGGTGCATCAAGTCTGGCACTAACAGGCTCTTGAACAGCTTCTATCCACAAGCAATAAGACTGATAAATAGCTAACAAAATAGCTACACGGGCTATCTGAGTTAACCTTGTATCCTCATTGACCTTTTTATTTTTGTCTCTATGCACACTCACAGGGCCCTCACACATATTCACTCCATCATCTGCTCACTCACACATAACATGCACATACTGTACATTTATACTGACTCTACACACACCCACTAACATACGAGCTGTTGCTACTCTGTTAATCTTATATAATGACGCCTAGTCCCCTTACCCCTATACATACAGTATTTACCTCCATCACTCCAGTATCCCTGCACATTGTAAATATGGTAATTGAACTGACCCTGTATATAGTATGCTTACTTACTGTGTTCTTCATATTTCTTCAGCCTGTAGGACTCGTAGATCGGGAATCGGACCATCCACTCCAGCACGGCCACAGTCAGGACCAGACATCCTCTGGATGATATCCTGTCTCACACTGCGCAGCCAGTCAAAGAAAAAGTCATACACCTAGAAATACACAAAACAATAACAAATGTGTTGATGAAATGTTGCATGAGATATCACAGAAAAGGAACACAGTGGAGATGGCTAACATCAGTCCATGGCTGGAGAGTGGGGGAGGTAGAGATGTCGTCGATGAGGAAGCACACAGTCTTCAGCAGCACAGCCGGTGGCCGCAGGTCACTAGGTCGAGTGGAGTCCTTCCCTGCTGCAGGTCTAGCCTACTTCATTACCACACGCGAGGGGTCAGCCGTGGGCCGACTATCTCGCTCGGTTTTGCCTCCACTCCCTTCCCACAGGCTGTCCTCTCCTTCTGGAGTGGGAACTATTCAAGGGACAAAAGGGCCATTTTTGACCAAGCCACAAAATACTGTCACAGAGTAAATTGTGACCAGTGCATAACATTGAATAAGCATAATGAACACAACACTAGCGTTCCTCACAAAAACATGTTAAAAGCGGCAATGACATTATTTCATCCTTCTAGCAGCTATACATGCAAGGCTGCCATTCAAAATATCTAGTTATAGTAGGAAGAAAATGACAGTCGACTGAGCACTCACTGAATGTATAGTAAGCTGTGTGTGCTTGCTTGGTAGCCAGTGTTAGCCTACTATACAGCGACTGGATTCTACCTAGCTAATAATACTGGGATTATTTTCTAATGCATGTTTCCACAATCCTAGAGCTAATTTACAACTTCAAATGTCTCTTAACATGGATAAATCCTTCTATTTTTATAAAATCAAACAAAAACTCACATACGACAGAACCATAGGACGGGACGCTCTCTTGTTGTTCGTTGGTCAACTATGACAGCAGCCACTTCACTTGCCAGAATGAACCAATCAACAAAAGCATGAACCAATCAACAAAAGCGCATTTGAAGTTTATCAACGATGGCTTCTACGTCACATCTGTTGAACTGATGGTTCGCAACAAATGTTGCCGCGTTCACGTACCAGTCGGAACTTGCTAACTGTAGTTATACACGTGCCGCGTTTAACGAATCAGCAAGTTGACTAGCATGTGAACGCAGCAAGTAAAATGATCACACCGACAGCGTCATTGTGCTTTGGTACACCAGAAGTACATTCATTTCCAATGGAACACTGCATTTGACTTACAGCATTGTGTTGCAGAGGCATTGCGTTCTGTGTGGTGCATAAACACATCAAATTGTATGCTTAGACTTGACACAAATAGTAGCAAAAGGTGAATGTATCAACTTTTGTTGCACACACATCCAGTAAAAAAATGTTGATGCATTGATGCTGTCGGTCTCAGAGGCGTAACGCCTCGATCACACCTACACACCGTCATTGCGCAAAATGCTAGGCAGCATCATCTGGATATTTACATTTACGTCATTTAGCAGACGCTCTTATCCAGAGCGACTTACAGTTAGTGAGTGCATACATTTTTTTCATACTAACCGCAATAATATTTAATTGAATCCTCACATCCTCCCTCCGTCTCAAAGCACATTGGAGTAGATCCTAGGTTCCTCTCCTCGGATCTTCTCCTCCAATGCATTTTGAGAAGGAGGCAAGTAGAGGATGCAAGGAATCAAGGAAATACAATTGACATACACACCAGGAATTGGACTACTGTGAGGTCATCCTAGAGAACGAGGCTGGCCGACTATCCGTCCTGCTGCTGGATGAATGGGTTTGGGGATGGCTTCCATGCCGTCCTGAGGACAGATGAGCACCACGGACGTCCCTCTACAAACCACCAGGCCCAGCTGCCGCGTGTCCTCGGTCAGCTTGAACTGGTCGTCAGGATCCCGTAAGTACTCGATGGTGCTATCCAATACCAGGTTCAACAGGGGGTCAAACCCCTTCAGAACTCCACTGGCCTCTCGTCCTCCCTGAAACTTCACATATTTGTTTATCAATGTACTTTGACAGGTCAAAGATACTCTCTTTATTCTTCTTCTCTCTTTCCTGGTTTCTGTCCGCCATTTTTAACTTGTTCCAGCCACGCCTTTCGAACTCCAACCTCATATGAGTGCAACAAAACGTTCAACATTCACCTTCTGCTACTATTTCTGTCATGCTGTCTCCACATACAAATTTGATGCATACGTTCGATAAATCCAAAAATATACACCACACAGAACGCACCGCAACGCAATGCTGCAAGGCAAACACAGAGTTCCATTTGAAATGAATGTACTTCTGGTGTACCAAAACGCAATGACGCTGTCAGTGTGATAGAGGCGTAACAGTGGTACAATGTATCATTGCAGCAACATCATATGGATACAAATGTTTACAATTGTAACTCTTAGAGATGACAGAAATGTATTCCAAGAATAAGGTCTTTCACCACCACATAAAAAATAAGAACTATTACATATTGAGGTATACAATTTAATAAAATGTTTCACAAAATAATTCCCATGGTCAGTAATTCAATTACTTTCACTACTGTATGTAAATAAAAATTATAAACTGGGTCGTTCGAGCCCTGAATGCTGATTGGCCAACAGCCGTGGTATATCAGACCGTATACCACGGGTATGACAAAACATGTATTTTTACTGCTCTAATTACGTTGGTAACCAGTTTATAATATCAATAAGGCACCTCGGGGGTTTGGGGTATATGGCCAATATACCACGGCTAAGGGCTGTATACAGGCACTCCGCGTTGCGTCGTACATAAGAACAGCCCTTAGTTGTGGAATATTGGCTATATACCACACCCCCTTGGGCCTTTACTGCTTAACTATAGACTGTACATTCTACACAATGTTCTCTATGCTGCTTCACTGCTTGGGGCAATAGAGTTCCTGAACTCTTGTCAATCCAAGCTGCTCCTCTTCCAAGGCCTGCTGAATCTGAACCGTCTGGCGACTGACCAATGATGACAGCTCCAATAACTCTGAAAAGCCCCTGTGAAGAAGTAAATCCTATGGTCACCAAAACAAACCCACTACACATTCATTAATTGTTCATCATATCTTTGGAATACATAATAAAGGGTCTTCAAGTGATTGATCTTGACCAGTTTAAAACACTTACCCTTATGCGTACATGCAAATACATCAGTCAAAGAGCAAGCTGATAATTAATAATGGTTTCAAAAGACTTCGAAACTAAAAGTCACGTCTTAGGTCTCTGTAATCTATGGTTTTACCCTGAGAGCTGCTCGCTGATGTCCTGTGCAGCAGTTTTCATCCCTCTCAGGCACTCAGCAGATTTCTCATTGCCATGCTGAGCTCCCTGTGTGCACTGCAGCAACACTTCCTCACTCTCCTTCAGGCTAGCAGTGGCTTTATCTGCATGGGTACGAACCATGGTTTTAGTATACAAACACATTCATGGGGGTGGGGAACTCCTATGCGTAAGCAGTAAATCCAGTTTTAACTCCAAGGTTTTCTCTTCACTTTCCAGTAATGTGGCAAATTGAATGGAATAATACCAACCCAGAAATGTCATTCTGTCCCCATCAATGTAGAAGTTCTTCACTGGCAGCTCATGTCGTGTGGTGTCAACTGCGGTGGCAAAAGACTTGTATTCTTGAGTGAACTGCTTGGCGGCATCAGCCACAGGAGTTAGTGCTGTGATCTGAAAATATACAATTTCTGATTATTCAAAATCAAATCATAGATCAGATTATTTTACATGTTACAACAAGCAATTTATCTTATAATATAATATAATAATATGCCATTTAGCAGACGCTTTTATCCAAAGCGACTTACAGTCATGCGTGCATACATTTATTTTTTATTTTTTTTGTGTATGGGTGGTCCCGGGGATCGAACCCACTACCTTGGCGTTACAAGTGCCGTGCTCTACCAGCTGAGCTACAGAGGACCATCTTTTTATAATTCATATCAACAACCATCCCATAATGATAACACACAAAAAACACACAGGATAACAACTTTTTCAGCTTCACAACTTGTTTACATAAATCAAAAGTTTGTTTAGGCTGTATTTGGAGAGAAATGACCTCTGACCTGTAAATGGAGCAGGTCGTCCAGCTGCTTGTTCTTCTCCAGGAGGTGGTACTGGCGCTTCTTCTCATGGACTTCCTTCCGTAGCAGCTCCTCTTCCTCCATCACGGCTATAATATGCTCCTCCGCCTCCGCCTTCAATTTCTGGCTATTATTCTCCATCTGAATTCAAACCGAACCATCAGAGTAGGTAAAGGGGGAAAAAAGGTTTACCTTAAGGGGTGAAATACCAATAAAACATGTCTGATTAAGAAGTATACTAAATATAATAGTTACCTTGGCTGTGAGGTAGGCCAACAAGAACGTCTGCATCTCTAGGAGTCTCTTTTCATTGTCATCGTTCCTTTCAGGTTCTACTGCTGCGTTTTGTAACACTGTCTTGTCTGTAATATAGGTGAGACATAGCATGTTAACGGTTGATTCCCAAATGTTGGTTTGTTATCAACATGATCTGAATAAGAGGACAGTTTACCTTTAATGGCAGAGACATCAAAGTCAGGGCGAAGACAGTGACCATCTAAGATTGTGGATTGCAGAATACTTCTTCCTAATTGTGAAGGCTCAAGGACACTGGACATCATTGCTGGAGAATAAAATGTGTTATGTAGTAAGTGTGCATATAATCTCAGGGCTCTCTACAGTAAACCAACTCCACATGGCCAAAGACATTGGAAAAATAAACAGGTTGGCCATGGTAGAGTACAGCCAAACATCTCACTGATCACTGGAAGCACTTACGAGTAGGATTGCGAAGTAACTGAGGAGCCATGGAACGCCGTGCGGGAGAGCCCACCCGTGGTTTAACACTACCCAGTTTAGGTGAGGCAGGCCTTGGTGGCACAAGGGTGGACTCATTGGTGAGCGAATTGTTCTGTGGAAAGGTACAGGGGTGCAATTAGTTAATTAATTTTGAGAGAACTATCTAACTATTAATTGAATAAAGAGATCAGCAATTGACATGAACTCAAATCAAATCTTAATTGTCACATGCGCCGAATACAACAGGTGTAGACCTTACCAACAATGCAATTCAAGAAATAGAGTTAAGAAAATATTTACTCAATAAACTAAAGTAAAAAATTACATCAAAAAGTAACACAAGAAAATTACATAACAATAACGAGGCTATACACTACCTTAGCGAGAGGTGCCTTTTCAACAGGTTGCATATATCGAGACTTCACTATTGTACCACCAGCTGAAAATAGGATAATGTTATTTGTAACATTGCAACCATTGACAATTGTAAAACAAGGTTTTAAGTGTAATTTAAATTGTTCTTTCGAACATAGCTACATTTTGTTTTATTTCCATTCCCACTGCTGTTGCCTTTGTTGGTGTTTCCAGTTCCACTGTTGTTGCTCTTGCCGTTTTCACTCACAGCTTTGGAACTGAAAATAACAACATAAAAAACTTACACATGTAACCTAAGGATAAAGGCTGCTGATAAAAGTTGATGGTGAGACCCACAAAATAATGACAACACATAGCTACGTATCCGTGTTTGTACAGATTTTCTTGTAACGTGTCAACAACACAGCTAGCAGCTGATCACACCATCACATAAAGTTACATCAGTTAAATTGCATCAATTTAGATTCATATTTTGTAAACATACAATTATATTAGCTGTCTACATTGATGAAGAACATGTTCAGCTACCTTTTTGAATCTCCAAGGGTAAGTTTCTGACTTTTAGGAACCAATGACTGTCTTCTTGACGCCATTTTACTTTCAAGTGAACCGCGTTTACAACAACGTTTATGTCCGGCTTGAAACAAATCCTAGGATGACGATATGGATTACTTCGTAGCCTGTGTTACTTGTTCAGCAAATACAATATTGTTTGTTGAATAAAAATGCAATATGTACTCGTTTAGCTTTATCTACAATAAAGATGGACCACTATTAACGTTACTTTTATGGTAAATGTTCTAGTAACCTTTCGGTTTCTAGTTGTACCATCGGATAGAATGAAAGGTTGCACGTAAACAGGAAGCATAGGTACTTCACAATAGTTGAATCATGATGAACAACGCCAAAACGATCCGTGCTACTGTTTTACACCTCGCTTATTAACCAAACTGTACAGCGACATTTTCAACACCATTGCCATGGTAAATTTATGTTTATTGCAATACATTTATTTGAGGCAACAACATGCAGTTTGTATATGAAAGCTAGTTAGCTGGCTAACATTAGCTTGCCTCGTGTGGGTTAACTGAGCGACACACACTGAGACATAACATAGGCGACACCGGACAAGAAGCTAGCTATAATGCCAAGTAGGCACGCTGCTGTGGAGGTAACTAGTTATAACAATATCTTTAGCTAATTTGATTGATAAAGAAAGTTAGTTAGCTAGGTAGTAAATATAGCTAGCTAAAAAGATGTTGCCGGGTTCTCCAAAACATGTTGTAACCATGTCAATGTAACACCAGCTCCCCAAAATATTTCAAAATTAGCTAGTTAACTATCAGACAATTTACTGTTACCTAGCAAATAAAAAAACTATTACTCTAGCTAGCAATTTTTTGCTAATGTTGTTCACAACTCACAGGTCAATTTTTTTTGTCTTCCCATTCTTTTCATCCTCCTAGGTACCCACAGACTTTCAAGCATTGGTCCATCGATTTTACGCCGTTCAAGCTGAAAGGGTAGAAGCGTACAGGCTTTTCGATGAGTAAGTAGGCCTGCATTATTTTCAGTTGGTGCATAGATGCACTTCCTGCCTTTCTGTTCATTTAAAGTAGGTGAAGGTGGTCTAATATTATGTTTATTTCTCTCCAGAGGCCATGAAGCATACTTGAGGACCGGGCCCCACTATGACTTCGACCACTACAGGCAGCTGGTGCATGAGATAACGCAGGCTTTCTGTGGCCTCTCAAAGGAGGTGCTAGAGATCAAGGAGCAGCTGCACCAAGACTTCAACCGTCCAGATCTCTCCGAACACATTGACAAGCTGCAGAGTAAAGAAAAGCAGAAGCTTGAGCTGGTAAACACTCTCTTACCTACCTCTTTGACCTGGGACAGACTTTAAGGAAACTCCTGACCTGTAAAACGACTAACCAAAATTGAACTGACCCTTACCTTAACCAACCCCATAACCACATTTTAACAAATTCTGAAATTAAATATTGTTTTTCCGGTCAGGTGTGTTAGTATAGCCTGAGTGCCAGTCTGTTTGTGCCATCCTGCCACCTTCTTGTCACTCATTGTCATGCCAAACATGGCTTAACTATGAGCAATGGAGTTGGCAAGCACACAAACGGATCTGGAACCAGGCTATAAACCCCTAACCCCCCCCAGTGTGCACTTGCTCACTCCTCACAAATTGAAAGATTGTATCGGTGTAAATATGAGAAAAATTAATTGTGTAGCATATTTTTTACACCAGGTTTAGTTGGACTGAATCGATGTGCAGCCTCTGTAACAGTGCTCAGTTGACTGATGTTGGCGTTTAGGGATTACATATGGATATCAAGCATTGAATTTTAAATAGCTTAGAAGAGTTTTCAGTTGAGCATGCATATATTTACAGTACAGTGCAGTTCTGCAACTCCAGTTCTGGGGATCTACTGGATGTGCCTGCTTTTATTCTAGACCATCAATATCACACCTGATTCAACTAATTAAAATCATGATCTTCACACTCTGGGACATGATTAGCAGAATCCAGTGTGTTACTAAAGGGCTGGAACAAATACCTGCACACCCAGTAGCTCTCCAGGACCCGTTTTGAGGCTTCTGTAATAGTGCATCACCTCCAAGGTTCATCATCAGACTTCCATCAGTCAGCCACAAGGGGTCAGATTTCTCCCCTGAGAACGTAACACATCCTGTATTTCCTGCTTCATCAGTGTTCATTGTTCAGCAATTGAACATGACAAGGTAAATTCATTATTGTTATCAATAGAGAGAAGCAATCATGCAACAATTGACACAAATAGTAGAGAAATATTTTAATGATCACGCTTTGTAATGCACAATTGTAATGTGAAGCTCAGAATCTGTCAGTAAACGGGAATTTAACAAGATTTAAATAATGGCTTCCATTTTCCACACTTAATTTTCATCACGTCAGATGTCTGGCATCGACTTTCCTTCTTCTGGATCTAGGCTAGTGGCAAGGCCCCCGCATTTTTGAGATGCTCCTACCCCACATCTTGAATGTCTCCCATTTATGAAATGGATTGTTGTATTTTACTGTAAAAGTGGTTAATTTGATAGATATTGTGACACACCCCCTAAACTCAAACAGTGCAGAATAATGCCTGGCTGGAGGGGGGATGGGCCACATAAGCTCATGTAACCCAATATTGCAAGCGCTGATATTGCTCAAATGTAGAATACAAGTAGGCACTTGTCTGTCCTACATACACAATCTTAATGCATGTTGGAAATATAGAACTGTAAACACAAAGATACAATAGGCGGAAATGTCAACTATTAATAATTCTGATGAATGTAAGCTTTACTTTTTGGTAGCTGATTAGTGAAATTTGAGCTCATTCAGTGCGGTATGGTCCTGCCTGACAAGAATACATACAGTTACACATGTTTTTTGATGTGGCTATTGTAATCTGCTCTAAGGAAAACAAGTGGGCTCAGACATCAGAATTAGATTTTTTGGGTCCAAGGTTCCTTGGGAACTAAACAAAACCTCCAGGGGACCATGACACAATGTACTAACCACTTTAGGTGACCATTTCGTGATGTTCCGGGGACGTCCTTATGACTCGTTGTTTGCAGGGACGTTCCCTTGGGACCATCACGCAACGTCCTAATGACTAGTAAAGTTGAAGTCCTGAGAACATCCTAAAAAGGTCCTCAGTGACATCCTGGAAACTTACAGGGAACTAGACAAAGGTCCCCCAGAGAACGTTCCCTTGGGACCATCATGCGACGTCCCCTTGACCATCATGAAACGTCTGATTGTGGTCATTGAACGTCCCATGGATAAAAATGTTGCCCGCACTACAGACGGCAATATCGGTCAGCTAATACAGGACTAGTAAAGGCCCAGTGCACTACTTTTGTGATTTTTTAAATAAAAGTCTCCTTGTCCAGGAGAGATTTACACTGATATCAAAACGTCACTCCAGGGTAAGGCTACACGAAACACAGCCCTTATTTTAAGTGTTTCTAAAATCCCCTATGGGAAAAATGAATGGTGGAAAAACGATTGGAACCATTTCCCTGTTTAACCGCTAGGTTTTATTGGTATTATGACTAATACTGTGGTACTCTATAGGCAACTTTGTATTTGTAGTCAACTTCGTTCCCAAGTTATCGGCGGTCAGAGAGAGACTGATAAACAGCTTGATTATATGTTTAGCAGAGATATCTTCTGTGTATAAAGTGACGCGGAACGGCAAAAAATCCATTAACAACGCACTTAGCTGGTCTACGAGTGGTCTGCGTCAGTCGGTAAATAACAAGCGTTTTCAGTGCAACTTTACATTTTAGTCATTTAGCAGACGCTCTTATCCAGAGCGAATTACAGTTAGTGAGTGCATACATTTTTCATACTGGCCCCCCGTGGGAAACGAACCCACAACCCAGGCGTTGCAAGCGCCATGCTCTACCAACTGAGCTACAGGGGACTGACGATGGTTTTGGGAAACAACTCGGAGATTTTACGATGTGCCTACAAAGGTTCTAATGATGAACTTAGCCTTAAGATGCTTTTGGGAAAACGGGCCCTGAATGATGCAGGGGATACTCCAGTAGTTGAATGATTAGTTGTCTGATTGTAAAGGAGAGTCTGTGAAAGGACTGTCACAAACAGACCTGCCTTTAGAGTTTTTTTATGTTGAATGTGGCAAAAAGTCTTGCAGGTCCGTCCTACATATTCATTTGGAAGTCGGTTAGGATGATAATTTGGCTGATATTAACTGTGGGTAGTTGGCTGTGATTATGGTCTGAGGCAGGCCCAGCAGGAGATGAGGAGAGTGACCGACCCAGTGAGGTGACCTCAGGTTAATTAGAGGTTACTTGGAGTGTAGGTCTTAGACTATGACTAAGAAGCATTATGAGGGACGTAGCACAGCTCCACACACATATACATTTCAAGATGATCCCTGGACTGTAGAGGGATTGCAGAGGCGGTGGAGCTGGTCCCGTGTAGCTCAGTCGGTAGAGCATGGCGTTTGCAACACCAGGGTTGTGGGTTTGATTCCCACGGGGGGCCAGTATGGTAAGAAAAAAAGATGTATGCACTCACTAACTGTAAGTCGCTCTGGATAAGAGTGTCTGCTAAATGACTTAAATGTAAATGTCAAGCAAAGTGCACAAAGGCCACTATATCACAGTCAATCCCCAGCCACCGTAAACGATGACATACAGCATCTTTGTTTAAATTTGACTATCCTAAGGGGCCTCTTGTTTGCCATAGCATATATCCTTAAACGGATGTTGGGATTACTGCAAAGTTTCCCAGACCAATGCATGAGTCAGCTCAACCTGAACAGCATCAGAGTGCACCGGTACACCCAATGTGCATCACGACTGCAGTGAGCCAGCAGAAGGTCATGTTGGATTCAGGCAGCCGTATTGGATTATCCATTAATCAAAGCTCACTTCTAAATGATAAGGAGGTGACTTAAGAGCCCAATCCTGGAGAGGCAAGTTGTAGAGCTAGGGAAAGGGTGTCAGAGTCCAGGGTTGGATTCTCCCAGTTGTCTCATTGATCCTCAAAGGCTTGTAAATTTGAATATTTGGTGTTGCCATGCCAAGCAGTCTGCAGCCTTTAAAAAAAATTATCCAGACAAAGGTGTTTGAGTGTAATTATGGCAGGCATATTGGATTCCCAACGAAGTTGAATTACACAAAAATAGTATTGAGTCAGGTCATAAGAACAGTACACAAATCTGAAAGATGTCTCATTTAAAACCTCTCTATATACAGGTGATTTAACCACCATTTAATGGTAATGTGGCAGCCATATTGGATTTTGGACGTCATATTGGATTTGGAGTCAAATCTAGGGGTTCCCCTAACGTAACCGTAAGAGTCGGTGCTGAACAATTAAAATCCACAGAGAAATTTTGACACAAAAAAAAAATTGTATGATTTTTAAGTAATTCATTTGCATTTTATTGCATGACATAAGTATTTGATCACCTACCAACCAGTAAGAATTCCGGCTCTCACAGACCTGTTAGTTTTTCTTTAAGAAGCCCTCCTGTTCTCCACTCATTACCTGTATTAACTGCACCTGTTTGAACTCGTTACCTGTATAAAAGACACCTGTCCACACACTCAATCAAACAGACTCCAACCTCTCCACAATGGCCAAGACCAGAGAGCTGTGTAAGGACATCAGGGATAAAATTGTAGACCTGCACAAGGCTGGGATGGGCTACAGGACAATAGGCAAGCAGCTTGGTGAGAAGGCAACAACTGTTGGCGCAATTATTAGAAAATGGAAGAAGTTCAAGATGACGGTCAATCACCCTCGGTCTGGGGCTCCATGCAAGATCTCACCTCGTGGGGCATCAATGATCATGAGGAAGGTGAGGGATCAGCCCATAACTACACGGCAGGACCTGGTCAATGACCTGAAGAGAGCTGGGACCACAGTCTCAAAGAAAACCATTAGTAACACACTACGCCGTCATGGATTAAAATCCTGCAGCGCACGCAAAGTCCCCCTGCTCAAGCCAGCGCATGTCCAGGCCCGTCTGAAGTTTGCCGATGATCCAGAGGAGGAATGGGAGAAGGTCATGTGGTCTGATGAGACAAAAATAGAGCTTTTTGGTCTAAACTCCACTCGCTGTGTTTGGAGGAAGAAGAAGGATGAGTACAACCCCAAGAACACCATCCCAACCGTGAAGCATGGAGGTGGGAACATCATTCTTTGGGGATGCTTTTCTGCAAAGGGGACAGGACGACTGCACCGTATTGAGGGGAGGATGGATGGGGCCATGTATCGCGAGATCTTGGCCAACAACCTCCTTCCCTCAGTAAGAGCATTGAAGATGGGTCGTGGCTGGGTCTTCCAGCATGACAACAACCCGAAACACACAGCCAGGGCAACTAAGGAGTGGCTCCGTAAGAGGCATCTCAAGGTCCTGGAGTGGCCTAGCCAATCTCCAGACCTGAACCCAATAGAAAATCTTTGGAGGGAGCTGAAAGTCCTTATTGCCCAGCGACAGCCCTGAAACCTGAAGGATCTGGAGAAGGTCTGTACCAAATATTAAGTTCTGCTTTTCTGATGTATCAAATACTTATGTCATGCAATAAAATGCAAATTAATTACTTAAAAATCATACAATGTGATTTTCTGGATTTTTGTTTTAGATTCCGTCTCTCACAGTTGAAGTGTACCTATGATAAAAATTACAGACCTCTACATGCTTTGTAAGTAGGAAAACCTGCAAAATCGGCAGTGTATCAAATACTTGTTCTCCCCACTGTATGTGCCTCCCCCCTCCAGCCAGGCATTATTCTGCACTTTTTAAGTTTAGGGAGTGTGTCACAATATCTATCAAATTAATCACTTTGTCAGAAAAATATTTTTACACAACCATCCAATTCATAAATTAAAGACATAAGAAATGTGAAAGAACATGGTTGTATTTTGTTCTATGTCGGGTAGGGATATCTAAAAGAAAAAAAAATGGGTAGGGGTATCTCAAAAACTAACACCCGTTTTGAGGATTGGTCTCTAGTTTGGCCCAGGCTGGTGTTAAATTTTGATTGCTCCACGTCTGATAAATGGTTTACACGTCTCATTGTCCACAGACGGCTAAGCTGCAGCTGGCAAAGCAGAAGGCTCAGGATCACCCAGAAGACGAGGGCTGTCAGGAGAAGATCCAGGAGGTCAAGCAGGAGTAAGAGCAGATTTCACTCCTCCTTTCAGGGCTTTGTCTCCCCACTCATTCCCTCAATGTGCTGACTCCAAAACAGCTGAGTGTTGAAGCTACAGGAGCGGCTCAATGTCTCGTTAAGCTGCTCAACTGCCATGTCCAATCACTGATGTCATTTCTTATTAGGTCTAACTGCTGTTTGCATACAGACTACTCACAGGGAATGCACTCAATAAAATCAAATTGTATTTGTCACATGTGCCGAATACAACAGGTGTAGACCTTACAGTGAAATGCTTTCTTACAAGCCCTTAACCAACAATGCAGTTTTAAGAAAGAATACCAAAAAAAATCGCACTAAAATACAATATAAAATAATACAAAATAAAAGTAACAAGTCATTAAAGAGCAGCAGCATCCTCTAATGCAGGGGTCTCCAACCCTGTTCCTGGAGAGCTACCCTCCTATAGGTTTTCGTCCAACCCCAGTTCGGGTTTTTGCTCCAAACCTGGTTCAGCTTATCAACCAGCTAGTTATTAGAATCAGGTGTGCTAGATTAGGGTTGGAGTGAACCTACAGGACGGTAGCTCTCCTGGAACAGGGTTGGAGAGCCCTGCTCTAATGCCTCCATCCGTCTCCCCTCCTGCAGCATCATAAAGAATAAGGAGGCCCTGAGTGACATCCTGCAGGACTTTAAATACGACTCAGAGGAATCGGTGTGATGGGGACTCCCAGGAGGCTGCCGCCCAGACAGGGATTGATGGACTCCTCTACTGCAACTTCCTCCTTTTTATTCATTTGCCTAAGTTATTGATCCTTCCCTGGCTCCACCTGACTGCTGCAGTTTCTGCCCAGGGTCATTCCGTACCCTGCATGTCTCTGCATGTGCGCTTGTGTGGCCTTAGCAAAATTGCCTTTTTTTCCCCCTTCTGTGTTCTCTTGTACATTTTTGTTGTTGAAAAAACTAATATTGCCTTAACAACTACTTCAATAATCTGATAATTTGCTCTATTTTAATTTTAAAAAACATTCCAAGGCAAGTGTTATTCCTTTATTGTTTTATAGACAAGAACGGCCAAAATATTTGACATTTTTATAATCATTATTGATAACTGAACATAACTTAATGAGGGAAATTATTAATTAGGATTTATTAAATATTCAGATACAAAAATATAAGCATTATAAAAATGTCCTCATCTGCACAGTCACTCAGACACAGTATTTACAGTTAAACATTATGCCACTTATTTCAATAGAAGGAATCCAGAGTAGTACAAACCCAAAGAACAAGAAAACACTTCCATATTACCAACAAAGTTCAATTGCTATGACTGTATACAAAGCCAATCCATAAAATGGTGTATTAGCATTTGCTAGCATACCAACCACGTTTTTGTCATTAAAAGACCTATGCAATTAAATTCCATTAATATATACACTACATGACTAAAAGTATGTGGACACCTGCTCGTCAAACATCTCATTCCAAAATCATGTGCATTAATATGGAGCTGGTCCTCCCCTTTGCTGCTAAACAGCCTCCACTCTTCTGGGAAGGCTTTCCAATAGATGTTGGAACATTGTTGTGGGGGCTTCATTCCATTCAGCCACAAGCATTATAGAGGTCAGGCACTGATGTAGGGCTATTAGGCCTGGCTTGCTGTCGGCGTTCCTATTAATCCCAAAGGTGTTCGATGGGGTTGAGGTCAGGGCTTTGTGCAGGCCAGTCAAGTTCTTCCACACCGATCTCGACAACCCATTTCTGTATGGACCTCGCTTTGTGCACGGGGGCATTGTCATGCTGAAACAGGAAAGGGCCTTCCCCAAACTGTTGCCACAAAGTTGGACACACAGAATCAAAAAGAATGTCATTGTATGCTGTAGTGTTAAGATTTCCCTTCACTGGAACTAAGGGGCCTAGCCCAAACGATGAAAAACAGCCCCAGACCATTATTCCTCCTCCACCTAACTTTACAGTTGGCAGTCTGCATTGGGGCAGGTAGCGTTCTCCTGGCATCCGCCAAACCCAGATTCGTCCATCGGACTGCCAGATGATGACGTGTGATACATCACTCCAGCCGACGCTTGGCATTGCGCATGGTGATATCAGGCTTGTGTGCGGTTGCTAGGCCAAGGAAACTTATTTAATGAAGCTCTCGACAAACAGTTCTTGTACTGACGCAGTTTGGAACTCGGTAGTGAGTGTTGCAACCGAGGACAGACTATTTCTACGTGCTACGCGCTTTAACACTCGGCGGTCCCGTTCTGTGAGCTTGTGTGGCTTACCACTTCGCGCCTGAGCCGTTGTTGCTCCTAGACGTTTCCACTTCACAATAACAGCACTTACAGTTGACCGGGGCAGCTCTAGCAGGGCAGAAATTTGACAAACTGACTTGTTGGAAAGGTGGCATCCTATGAAGGTACCACGTTGAAAGTCACTGAGCTCTGCATTAAGGCCATTCTACTGCCAATGTGTGTCTATGGAGATTACATGGCTGTGTGCTCGATTTTATACACCTGTCAGCAACGGGTGTGGCTGAAATAGCCAAATCCACTCATTTGAAGGGGTGTCCACATACTTTTGTGTATATATAGTGTAGCTTAAACAACTATGTGGCTATTAAAGTGGTTAGAATGGAAATACATTATGAAAATACCTTAATCTTCTTGAATTCTGACAAATGTTCTGTGATTGAGTTTCCAGAACAGGAGCTGAATTAGTGAAGTTCTTTATACTGTATATGACATTCCAGCAGGATTGCATAATGCCCTTGTGTCTGTGGTAAAAGCCTGTGATGGTGGCCACTACGTGTCTGATCTGACGGTAGTCTGTAAGATGATTTATGGCCATCTGAGTTGAACACATACTAATGCTACATTAAGAAACTTTTCCATGCTCCCACTCAGCGATCAGAGGGCCTTGGTCTGAAATGTGCTCAGAAAAGGCTCTCCACTTTGGCACTCCCAGGAGATGAGTGTGTTTGTGTGGAGAGGAGGGGATGGAGAGGAGTTCTTAGAGATGGGATTCCACTCTATTTTAATCCTGGGCTGCAGACAGCAGTGTAACACGCTGGCGTCTCGCATCAGTTCTTTTTCTGTTCCACATGGATTCCTACAAAGAAGAGTTGTGTGTGACCAAATGCTGGAATATCCAGTGTTGGATCACTTTCACCGAGAGGCCTCAAAGTGGCCTTCTGAGACAGTTTCTCAGTTCCTGTTGTGAATGTTGTTGTTTAAATATTTCAATGATGTTTAGGATGTGTTATGATTTATCGCCTTATAGAATCTGAAAGGGAAAACAAATGTTTAATATTGGGGTAATTTAAATTGAACGGTAATTCATATTCCTTATCATACTGACATTAATTGCGTATTGTTTTTTGGTTTATTCGGATCCCCATTAGCTTTTGCCGAAGTAGGAGCTATTCTGGGGTCCACAAAAAAACATAAAACATGACAAGTAACAAAACACTGCTACACTGATAGACAGTCACACAAATGTAAAATACAATGATATACAAACAATACAACTAAAGAATAATGTGCCTGTTTGTGTGTGTGTCATTTCACAGTCACTATTGTGCCATGAGATGTTGTTTAATCTGTTTTGTTTAAGGTAATCTTGGTGTTTACTTGAGTAATTGGAGATGGGAGTTCCGTGCGATCATGGCGCTGTATAATACTGAGCGTTGCCGTGAATTTGCTTTGGATTCGGGACTGTGAAGAGACCCCTGGTGGCATGTCTTGTGGGGTATGTATGGGTGTCTGAGCTTTATAGGTAACAGCCAGTTGAACTGCACTTTTTTTCTCTGAGGTTAATCAATACAAGGCTGTCAGAGCAGTTAAACACAAACATTATTCAGGGTACGCCACACTAATCAGGTGAACTAAACGTGTCGGGCAGTTCCCTTGTCCTCAGTAGCATAACAACCAGCGATTAGGTTCAGGGGGCGAACAGAGGATGTAGCTCAGCGGTGAGCTCAGTGGGGTGAGTTATGTTGTGAAACAATCTCCTCGCGTCACAGAGAGACAACACAAAAGCAACATATTAAAGTGGTTGTTAATTATATTAACATGCTCATTTCTCTTTGTTGTGGTAATCGACTGAAGAATCATGAGTCTATGCCATTAAAATAATAAAATGACATTGCATGACTCATAAAACTGAGTGGATATCAACATTAACCTGAACATAAAACAGACTGAGACTTCAGAAAGTCTTAACAAGTTCTAGGGCAATGATGGTTCTGTGTGCTTCCACAATGCTGAACACATCACAAAAGTACAATTCAGGACAAAGGGGGTCAGAAAATCAGGGTGTATGTGGAGTTCAACACATTGACAACAGAGGGTGGTGTTGTGATAAGGAGCTACAGTAGCCTAGTAGTACATGGTCATAGTACATAACTGAAGCCTATGCTGAGTTGTAACATAAATAAATGGGATATTATTCTTACCTACCTGGTTGCGCGTTCTATGCGATTTCTGCAGCCACACCCGCCACTGGTCGTAGAGTTTGATTGACATGCCGCTGCAGCCATAGGAGTGTTTGCGAACCCAGCCAAAGAACTGCTTGAGCTCCCGTCGCAGGGTGGAGTTCTGTTCGCCTGATTTGGGCTCACATGACCCACTCTGCAGCCGCTCTGGCCAGGGAGAAGACAGTGTGGTCAAGGACAAGGTTAGTCAGCGAGGATTGCTCAGAAGAACACTGGCTGCAATTCAGTTGAACATGCCACAGCCGTGTTTACGCAGTGTCTTTGTGTACGAACTACTCCCCGTCCACACACTTCCTGCAGTACCCGTAGCCATTATGTGATTTTATTTGGGGGAAAAGAGCTACCGCGTAACCGCAATGCAGGTTTAATTGAATGGAACCTAATGTTCTCCTACAACTAAACCAGCTGGAGACAAGAGTGGTCAGTGGCTCACACGGGGCTAGGAACTCCGCATGACCTCTGGGCTCTGGCTATTGTGCAAGGTCATTCTCTTGAGGATTGAGAATAGTCAATTTGATTACAATAGATTCGATATGACTACAATAGAAAATAATAGATTTGGTGCACTCCCATTATAAAGTCGGCCACAACCAATATTCCATGGCAAACAGAGCTTGATACCAACTTCCTCCCCCTTGCAAGTAAATACCACATAACCTTTGTAACCCATTATCTGCAGTTGTATTCCCCAAATCTGTTTCCACTCAGTGTTAATGCCCTGTGTGCAACTGACAGACTGCATTTCAAGTTGGCTAACGAAAGAGAAAAAAAAGTATATCTATCTGATGTCTCCCTCAGCTCTTTGCCATCTCAGCTTGAGTTCTTTTAATCCTCGGATGAAAAATTTATATAATGTAATTTGATGTTTGGCTTTCACATACGGTTTGGATCTAATTTTCCCAGGATGTTGAAGACTAATATGGGATGAGGTTATTGTTTCTTTGGTTTAACTGGCAATGAAAGGTTGATTATTAGAGGACAATTGAATGTCCCATGGCTCATCATGAGCCATAATAATACTAAAATGGAACTTTGGGAAGTATTAAAATGTATGATATTTCCCATAAAATCTTCAATGTGCACTATTGAAGATCAACAAGTGCTCACGAATGTCATAAATGCCCCCGCAAGCTTATGTCTGTTGTAAATAAATCCTAATGCAGTGTTATAACACCTTATAAGACCTATCCTTCCCCTTCAAGTGCTATGTAAATCTTTACTCACCACTTTGGGGTGTGGAGGCAGCTGAAGGGTGGCTCCAGTCACTCCAGATCCCAGCCTTCCTGGAGCCGTAGATCCCCACTGGGTTACACCTCACCTGGACAAAGTACACTGTCCCAGCCCTTAGCCCCGCTAGCCGGCACGATGTCTGGTTACCTACATCGTCCACCACCTGAGAGACATCAAAGAAAATATATAAAAATACTCTCATAGTGAAGCTATTAACCACACACAGTTCAGACAAAAAAATGAAATCAGATTTTCACACATTACATTTTTATCTTTCAGTAAAAACAGAAACCACAAACAAGCATGCACAAGCTTGGCTTGACAGCCCAAATACAGCTCTGGAATCCCTAGAGAGTACCTGACACTCATGCATCTCAAATATTTACACAGATATAAGATGCCATAGATGTGGCACTGTACCTCAGAAAGAGAGAATGGGAGAGAGAAAAATGTGGCTGAATGTTGAAACAAAACTGGAGTACTACTCTACCTTCCATTCAGTGCTGTCCTCCAGTCGGTAGCGTATCTGGTATTTGGCCTGGAAGAGGAAGTCTTTGAGTGCCGGGGGGCTGCCCCAATGCACTGTCAGCTGGTCCTCAAGCTCCCCCACACGACTCACATGGACGTTGTCTGGAGGGTCTGTAGTCACTGAAACAACAGGGATGTAGACACCGGTTGGTCACAAAGCTGTGTAATGAGTTACAGTGGGGAAAAAAAGTATTTAGTCAGCCACCAATTGTGCAAGTTCTCCCACTTAAAAAGATGAGAGAGGCCTGAAATTTTCATCATAGGTACACGTCAACTATGACAGACAAATTGCATTCACATTGTAGGAAATCACATTGTAGGATTTTTAATGAATTTATTTGCAAATGATGGTGGAAAATAAGTATTTGGTCACCTACAAACAAGCAAGATTTCTGGCTCTCACAGACCTGTAACTTCTTCATTAAGAGGCTCCTCTGTCCTCCACTCGTTACCTGTATTAATGGCACCTCTTTGAACTTGTTATCAGTATAAAAGATACCTGTCCACAACCTCAAACAGTCACACTCCAAACTCCACTATGGCCAAGACCAAAGAGCTGTCAAAGGACACCAGAAACAAAATTGTAGACCTGCACCAGGCTGGGAAGACTGAATCTGCAATAGGTAAGCAGCTTGGATTGAAGAAATCAACTGTGGGAGCAATTATTAGGAAATGGAAGACATACAAGACCACTGATAATCTCCCTCGATCTGGGGCTCCACGCAAGATCTCACCCCGTGGGGTCAAAATGATCACACGAACGGTGAGCAAAAATCCCAGAACCACACGGGGGGACCTAGTAAATGACCTGCAGAGAGCTGGGACCAAAGTAACAAAGCCTACCATCAGTAACACACTACGCCGCGCCGCCAGGGACTCAAATCCTGCAGTGCAAGACGTGTCCCCCTGCTTAAGCCAAGTACATGTCCAGGCCCGTCTGAAGTTTGCTAGAGTGCATTTGGATGATCCAGAAGAGGATTGGGAGAATGTCATATGGTCAGATGAAACCAAAATATAACTTTTTGGTAAAAACTCAACTTGTCGTGTTTGGAGGACAAAGAATGCTGAGTTGCATCCAAAGAACACCATACCTACTGTGAAGCATGGGGGTGGAAACATCATGCTTTTGGGCTGTTTTTCTGCAAAGGGACCAGGACGACTGATCCGTGTAAAGGAAAGAATGAATGGGGCCGTGTATCGTGAGATTTTGAGTGAAAACCTCCTTCCATCAGCAAGGGCATTGAAGATGAAACGTGGCTGGGTCTTTCAGCATGACAATGATCCCAAACACACCGCCCGGGCAACGAAGGAGTGGCTTCGTAAGAAGCATTTCAAGGTCCTGGAGTGGCCTAGCCAGTCTCCAGATCTCAACCCCATAGAAAATCTTTGGAGGGAGTTGAAAGTCCGTGTTGCCCAGCAACAGCCCCAAAACATCACTGCTCTAGAGGAGATCTGCATGGAGGAATGGGCCAAAATACCAGCAACAGTGTGTGAAAACCTTGTGAAGACTTACAGAAAACGTTTGACCTGTGTCATTGCCAACAAAGGGTATATAACAAAGTATTGAGAAACTTTTGTTATTGACCAAATACTTATTTTCCACCATAATTTGCAAATAAATTCATAAAAAATCCTACAATGTGATTTTCTGGATATTGATGAAAATTACAGGCCTCTCTCATCTTTTTAAGTGGGAGAACTTGCACAATTGGTGGCTGACTAAATACTTTTTTCCCCCACTGTATATGTGCTAAGACGACGGAACACAAAACTCAATACAAAAGTACTACTTAAGTAGTTTTTTGGGGTATCTGTTATTTACTTTAGTATTTATATATTTGACATTTACTTATACTTCACTACATTCCTAAAAAAAATTATGTACTTTTTACTGACACTTAAAAGTACTCGTTACATTTCGAATGTTTAGCGTGACAGGAAAATGGTCCAATTCATGCACTTCTCAAGAGAACATCCCTGGTCATCCCTACTGCCTCTGATCTGGTGGACTCACTAAACACAAATGCTTTGTTTGTAAATTATCTCTGAGTGTTGGAGTGTGCCCCTGGCTATCCGTAAATTAAAAAAACAAGAAAATGGTGCCGTCTGGTTTGCTTAATATATTGAATGTGAAATTATTTATACTTTTACTTTTGATACTTACAGTAAGTATATTTTAGCAATTACATTTACTTTTGATACTTAAGTGTATATATATATATTTTTTTAAAAACGTTTAGACTTTTAATCAAGTAGTATTTTACTGGGTGACTTTCACTTTTACATGAGTAATTTTCTATTAAGGTATCTTTACTTTTACTCAAGTATGACAGTTGGGTACTTTTTCCACCAGTGCAAAATTCAGTACATAGAGTATACCCTTAGTACTGCTTCATGAGCGCAAAAATATAGAAAATGTTATCATTGTTGTTTAAGGTTTTGCAGTACAATATTATGTTATATATTTCTGCACTGAACAAGTAGAGGACTGAGATGGGCCAGCATCTACAGTCTTGGTAAATATTGTACCACACTGTATAGACACTACAGCTATATCTAGATATCACAGCCACCATGCTTGAATAAAATATGGTCATGAATGTTCAGTGTCGGCCTGGGCTATGCTGTTGTCCAGCACCAACGCTGTCTATTTCATCTACTCTGAAAGAACACTTTGCTTCTCTCCTCACTTTATTTCACAGTATCCTCCACATTTGATCCTCTCGCTCTCACTCCCGGTCTCATTCTCTCTCCCTGTCTAATGCTCTATTTCCTTCTCTCGCTCTCTCCTCTCCCAGTCCTGATAATGAGTGTAGTTATGGACGCAGGGTAATCAGGTCAGTGTCTGCTTCTGCTTTCTCTCCCCAGTCTGATGATTTAGGCACACGCTCCAGCATAAAAAAAAACATGTTTTCCCACTGCAGTTAGGCTCTCAAAGAAGTCAAGTACTTTAATGCCGCTGATAGAGGGGGAAAAAGGTCTGAGAGAGACAGAGAAAGAGGAGAGAGAGAGATAATCATATAAAAATGTCAGAAGCCCATTTGTGATTGTCTGCTTGAGAAGTCTATAGCTCCATTAATTTCCTGTTTGACTTGTGTGTGTGCTGATGCACTTTATTGGTTTCATCAAGTTTGCCCCCCGGGGGAGCAGAAGATCAAGGAAGATTCCACAGAGAAATTCCACAGCTTATTATTTCCGCTGTGGAGATGGTGAAGAAATATGAGGTTAGTGATGCGTCATGTGTTAGGCATCCTCCCTCCTTCCTCCCAGTCTCCTCTCCCTTCCGACCAACCTACCTGTAGTCTCTAGGTGTGTCCGGTATAGTAGGGAGGGACATAGCAGAGCAACACAAAGGTCAATGGCCTACTGTTTTCCTTTCCCTTTTAACCACAGGGACATGCCTCAATCCTTAGGCTATACAATATTTACATTTACATTTTAGTCATTTAGCAGACACTCTTATCCAGAGCGACTTACATTTGCAAAGTCAGAGCTAGAAAGAGGAGGGAGTGAAGTGCGAGTATTTTTTTATTTTTTTTATTTGGGGGGGTTATTGAAGATACTCTTTGAAGAGGTAGGGTTTCAGGTGCTTTCGGAAGATGGACAGGGACTCTGCTGCTAGGGGTGGTAGGGCCAAGAGACCAGAGGTGGCAGAACAGAGTGCTCGGGTTGGGGTGTAGGATTTGAGCATTGCCTGAAGGTAGGGAGGGTCATACAACATATGACTGATGATTATCGTTTTATCATAAACTAGTGTGGTAAACTGGCATATTGCAACATAATAATAATAATAATAATATGCCATTTAGCAGACGCTTTTATCCAAAGCGACTTACAGTCATGCGTGCATACATTTTTGTGTATGGGTGGTCCCGGGGATCGAACCCACTACCTTGGCGTTACAAGCGCCGTGCTCTACCAGCTGAGCTACAGAGGACCACAAGACCAATAATGTACAAGGCCAAGCTAAATGTTGATATTTTGTTTCATGTCCTCAATCTTATCTACCCATCATCATTGTGTATTGGAAGTGTATCACTTTTGCCAAACGTCTGGTGTTCAGTGAACTTTTACTACAGTTCAGTTTATCTTTTATAATCACAGCCAGAATCCATTATATTGTTATAGGGATTGATTGGGAATACATAAAATTCCTTTCTCACATGAAAGTGTGTTAGCCATATGCAGGAGATCCGGCAGCGAGTTAGTGAGTGAAGTGAGGCGAGGAGAGAAAAGTAAAAGATGAGATCATGATGGACTGATGAGGAAGCATTTAGCACGCCATCTTGTCACCACCCTGGCAGGTCTGGGGCATGGAGCAGGAGGGAGACTGGATCAAAGGCTCACTCCACTTACCCACATCCAGGATATCCAGAGTGATGACATCAGAGGTGGCAGTCCCCAGCTGATTGGACGCCTCCACCCAGATCTCGTAGGGAGTAAAGAGGGCCAAGTCCCGGGGGATGTAACACGTGTAGTGTTGCCCCGTGCTGTAGTCCTCACATTCCCTCTCTCGCCCGTACCACCTGCACAGAACACACAAGCAACATAAAGTCACTCATATCTGTAACGAAATTCTCAATATAATGCACTGCCAACAACCAGTAAAGCGTAACATTTTCAGTGTGCACTGGACCATGAAATGTTAACAGTGCAAACAGCATTACGAGTCAAATGAATGTCTGCAGTACAAAAAAGCAACGGTTACAGTCTTTGCAATGCATCATCAGAATTACATAGGCCTTTAGTGAGTAAAATAAAGTAATTGTGTTCCAGGTGATGCATCGATTATTGTTTCTAGGCAGAAATTATGGTGGGTTGGGTGATCACCTGGGAGATGCTGGACATCTGTGGCTCTCACCTCAATTTGTACTTGAGGGTGTATTTGGTTTTGATGAAGGTTTCGCCCCGACCCCCGGGGGTCCACTTGCAGCTCAGGTCCTTTGTGTTTCGGGACCAGCAGGTTAGGTTGACCGGCTTCTCCGGGGGCACTGTACATTAACAGTGAAAAGACATGGTTATCTTAATGGCTACAAGAGTGGTTGTGTTATGTGTATTATACAAAGTTGTTATAAACACCTTAGTATCACAACGGACATTAAAATGATGCATTAAAAAAAGTGCTTATGTACCACAAACAAATACATCAGTATAGTAGTTCCTATTTCACAACGGGTAATAATGGTCACTCAATCCCATAATGACACACTGGCACATTGCTTAACCTCAGACGACAGGCTAGAGGATTCAGCTCCTCTCTCATTTCCTCTCCACGATATACTATCAAACACAGATGTAGAGAGAGACAAAAGTAAAGTAGTGATGCTGATTACAACCCACTGAGCAACTAAACTGAGGCTCTGGGTATATGATTCAAAGACAGACAGAGTAGGCTCTGTACGTTATGATATTAATAGAATAACTATTATTTTCACATGTGCTCTTTAATTTGTTTGCAAAGATTTCTGCATGAGTGAAACATTGCCTCTGTCCATACATGTAATGTATAATGCATTATCCCCTGTGCTTAAGCCACTGCTGGGAGACACTAGAGATTAGGGTGGAGTAATATAGCAGGCTTTAAAATCATAGCAAACACACAGCTTATCATCAAAAAGGCTTTTAAACAATCTATTTGTAAATGCACTGCCCTGAGCTTCTTACTCTGACAGTATTGATGACTCTGACAGTATTCATTTATATATCTCCTTGTTACACCACAGCGCTGTCCTTTTGTGCACAGTTTAATGTACCAAGAAGGACCATAATCTAGTAAACCTGTCCCCAGAAGAAGTGGTTGAGGCCTCCAGGGCCAGTCTGACACTTACTGCCCACGTAGAGACAGGAGCCAGCCAGGACATGTCCGTCACCGCTGTGACACACCAGGTTGTCCCCAGACTGCTGCTGGGAGCCATTGAGGTGGTGCAGAGTGACACTGAGGCCGTTGGGGCTCAGCAGGTCGTACGTGCTACTAGGGAGTCTCTTCCCGTTCATGGTCCAGTACATAGTGTTGGCATGCAGCCCCCGCTCGGGGCTCACTGTGCACGTGGCAGTCAGGCTGGTGCCCATCCGCAACGCCGGGTCCTGAGGGAAGATTACAGCCGGCGCTGGGGGAGAGACACAGAAACACACTACTTTATATGGGCTTCACTCCTGGAGGTGACGTGGCTTAACACGTATGGCAATAAACTTTGATTTGATTTGCTTGAAAATGTTTGTTCTTGATATTATGCCCGTTCAGAGTGAATAGATAATGAATCATAAGCAACCTTTGCTCTCTTTTTGATTGCAAACACTCAGGGGAACCTGAGAGTGATGAAGTGGATTTATGGGTCCTGTGCCGAAACTGTTGGGAGATCACTTGGAGAGGTCAGACAAGGTTGTTGGTCAAATTCTTGAATGCTTTTCCATCCCCACTATTCCTTTACTCTTCTGACTCGTCTTCTGATGGATGCTTCATGAGAAATGCCCCGAGAAGCGTTACTGTTTGAATGTGTTACCACTTGGCTCCTTTGGGGGAGATTCAAGGGTTAATGTGAGGAGGTTTATTAAGTGTGCTGTTGGTGGGCGGTAGACAAGCTATCTAACATATGTGGCAATATGCTACGCGCTATGAGTCTGACCTGACTAAAGAGGACTTGGTGTGAGACATGCCGAACCCAGTGTGTCCACTGATATTTACACTTTACGTATACACAAATAGGGTAAATTAATTGTATGTTTCACAGTAACATTGCATCATATTGCAAATTAGGAATTTCAGATGAATTTGAGAATTTTTCACTTGAAAACCTAATCACCTCTGTGGCCTAGTTCTCTATTATTTCAGTGCTTGAAGTCCAACAATGAATTACAAAGAAATCCAATTTAGCTGTAAGGCACATGATTAAGGTTGTCATGGGATGTTTTTACCATAGAATAGTAATGATCCAACAGGCATTCACTTTGTTTTGGAAGATTCTCACAGAATATTGGTTTCAATAAGTGAAATGTATATGGAGAATAGTTTACAATTACTCATGTACAAATATGTACAATGCCATAATCTCCTATACAGACTTTTTTTTGCAGACTTGTTGCATTATAAATAAGTAGTTATTACCAATTTAGTTACAATTCATGTTCAAATCCACCAAACATAATGCCCATATTTTGGACATAAAAAAATCTGACATCTTCAAATATCACTCATAATCTGTTCATTCATTATTGTATTATGTGTGCTTTATTTAAGCAATCAGGCCCGAGTTGGTGTGGTAAATGACCAATATACCATGGCTAAGGGCTGTTCTTACGCACGACGCAACACAGAGTGCCTGGATACTGCCGTTAGCCATGGTATAATGGCCATATACCACAAACCCCCGAGGTGCCTTATTGGTATTATAAAATGGTTACCAATGTAATTGGAACAGCAAAAATATTTTTGGGTCATGCCCATGGTATACAGTCTGATATACCACAGCTTTCAGCCAATCAGCATTCAGGGCTCAAACCACCCAGTTTATAATACAGGTTAAGTATTTTATAATAACTTGGCAAGTACACATGTGGACAGTCTGGACACCTGTGAATCAGTGAGTTTTGTATTTCGTACCTTTACACAAGGTATCTAACACATTGTTGAGAACAGTAACATGTACATAAAATGTCACTTTTTTTGTTGACTAATAGAGGGAGAGCGCCCCTCCCCTTCAAATCAGTCGAAACGGGTTTATGGCAAATTTGGTAGTCGGCTTCTCACAATATCACACTTCTGAGTTTTGTAGGCTACTTACGTGTCGATGAGGAGAACACACGTGGAACAAACATCATGAGACACAACAAGGAGAGCATGTTTCAGATAGCCTTTTTGGCTTTTTCTTGTCCTTCCCCTCTCACGTTCGGGCTCCAAGACTTGTGGATTCGGTACAGTAAAGGTTCAAACACAATCTTGCGGGAGAAAATGTAGGAATTGAAACCCAGCTCTCCAACAACGTTGAATCAACAGTCTAATTCCAACGAAGGAACTACGTTTAGATCGAACGTCGGAAATCCGCGTGTAGGCTAAAAGTACGGATGAGCTTATAAACAGTATGAAAGTAACCTAAGGTTTAGTGAGGGTTTGCTTCGGTGCACGCCTCAATAGCTAAAACATTGAAGTTGATACTTTATAAGCCCCTCCCTTGTCTTCCCACACGGTCTCAAATCATTATTGCTCTTCATTTTGTCTACCTTATATCCATTCCAAATAATAAGGAAAAAAAAAAAAAAGGTATATTCTATAACATTCCATCTCTAATTCTATAGTTGGGTCTACTTCATGGTTATAGTCTAGGCAAGTGACTGACTTTATTCATTAACACAGCGTAGGGACAGGTTAAAGTTATCTAAAGTCCCTATACTCAAAATAGAAGATTCATTAATACAGGCCACATGACACATTCTTATGTACAAGATCCAGCCTATCGAGCACTCATTAGAAACATTTAATAGAAAAAGATGCTATTTTGATGTTTTATACAAAAGCAAAGAGTTAAGCTGTGGTGCAGAAGTGTTTTTGTTAACTGTTCACTGACAAAATGCACATTCAATTGTAAGGGGTTTATTGGATTAAGTTGATAACTTTACTGTGTGATTCAGACGTATAAAAGTTGTTAGGCCTACATAGTTAGACCATATTAGTAGTCCTATATTATAGTATTATACAATACTAATTTAGGCTAAAAGACTGTGGGTCAATAGTAGGTTAGGGCATGCCTCATAAGCTGCACTGTGCCATCAGGTGGGCTCTCTGTATCTAAATTAGTCAATAATTGTATTTATAAACCGGGTGGTTTGAGCCCTGAATGCAGTGGTATATCAGACCATATAACACGGGTATGACAAAAAAAAGAATTGTACTGTTCTAATTACGTTGGTAACCAGTTCATAATAGCAATTAGGCACCTCGGGGGTTTGTGGTATATGGCCAATATTCCAACGGCTAAGGTCTGTATCCATGCACTCCATGTTGAGTCATGCATAAGAACATCCCTTAGCCATCTTATATTGGCCAGATACCCCACCCCCTCCTGCCTTAATTACTTACCAGTTGAATTGTGATGTTTTGCCTACATGAAAAATTGTTAGGCCTATATTCCATGTCATTAGCCCTCCTGTAGCTCAGTTGGTAGAGCATGACGCTTGCAATGCAAGGGTTGTGGGTTCGTTTCCCACTGGGGGCCAGTATGAAAAATATATGCACTCACTAATTGTAAGTCGCTCTGGATAAGAGCGTCTGCTAAATCACTAAAGAATAAATAAAAAAAATGTAGGATCATTATTGCAATAATTGAATCGCCTTCTCTTATTTACAGAGGCCTTGTTACGCATTATGGGCCTCCTGTAGCTCAGTTGGTAGAGCATGACGCTTGCAACGCCAGGGTTGTGGGTTCGATTCCCACGGGGGGCCAGTATGAAAAAGGTATGCACTCACTAACTGTAAGTCGCTCTGGATAAGAGCGTCTGCTAAATGACTAAAATGTAAATAACCATTACCTTACAGACTCGTTAAATAACAGATAGACTATATCTAAGTGAAAATAGGCTAATGTTTATTTTATTTTCCCATGATATAGACATTCCATCATACAATGTATGAATGCTAGCAGTGGGCCTATGCAATGCAGTGAATATGCACTGTTGAGTGCAGAGCGCACAAAGACGGTGCGCGCAGCAGCGTGAGTGTGATGGTTTTTGGAGTGACGACACCACAAAATCATAGCACAAGATTACCGAAGCAGATTGAAATCGGGTTGAAGCATCATCCATCCGAGAAGCTCAGAGTCCACTAAAAGCGCCAGTGTTCGTCCAGACCGTGGTGATCAAATCCGGCTTTGAAATGCTTCAGTTCGGCGGCAGGGTGTGCGGTGTCTCCGCTGTCGTCTCGCTGCTTCTGGCGGGGCTGGCAGCTGCGTCTTCTGATCTATTTGACAACCAACTAGGCGACATCAATTACTGCAAAAAGCAATGCCAGATTACCATCAAAAACAAAAGCCCAGCTAAAGTAAGTGACATCATTCATGAATAGCAGAAAATAAGAATATATTAGGCTAGATATAAATGTGACAGAAAAGTATATTTACGTGCTTGAATAGCTGCCATAATAAGTGCTTACAAATTGAATACGTTATATCGAATATCGATAGACGTCCCTTTAATCTTTAAACGCTGGCAATCTCTTGTAAATGTAGCATGGCCAATGCGTAACGAAGGCCCATCATTTTACTATTTGTCATGCTTATCCTAAATCGCAACATCAGTAGGCAACGCTACCTATCTTAATTTCAAGAACTGAGTGGAAATTATCTTGGACAATTAGGCCGAAATTATCGTTCTATGACGCATTCTCACAGCTCTGGTCCTCCACTACCCATATAGCCTGGCTACTCTACCTACTTCATTAGGATTTATTTACACAAATGTCTATTCATTAGATAATGCCTGGATGTTCATATTAAATTAAGTCATAAAATTGTTGTGAGGGCACCGGACCAAGATGGTAGCCTATTCTCCAATAGAGTCAGTCTATTGCCACTTGCATGGTTTCCTGGTTGCCTCATTGTGCGCTGAAATATTTATTTGTCCCATGAACGGCAATATGCAGGATATGTAAATAATAGCTCAATGATTACAATATCCATGTTTAAATCATCTTAAATTATGTACAATTTGGAAAATAATTGTAGCCTATTAGTAATGGATTAGTGTCTATCTCTCGGCTAGGCTATTATTTTCCCACCTACTCATCGCCTCGGCTCTGCTCAGGTGTGGTTCAGACAACATGCAGGGCGGAGCAGAGCAACAAAATGGATCACCATGAACTATGCGGAATCACCTGTTTTCAGAACACTGCACCAGCCTATAGGCCCTAATGTATGCATACTATTGGAACAGATAAACACCTTAGTGACAAATAGTGCTTGAACAGATGTTGAGCGTTTATTTTATTCATGATGGGACTATAATTGCCACTGTGGAGCACATTTACATTTACGTCATTTAGCAGACGCTCTTATCCAGAGCGACTTACAAATTGGTGCATTCACCTTATAGCCAGTGGGATAACCACATTACACACAATGAACATGGAATAACGCAGTTAATCGAAACGATTACACGCATGACACTGTAAATATGCCTGTAAAGTGTAAACCGTTGATCGTCAGACAAGGGGATCTCTTTGTCTATCACGTTCATGTGTCAGTCGCTTGGGGGCGCTGTTTAGTTCTTCTGTAGTAGAAGTAGGCTTGGAGAAAACTGTGACCACGTGATTGTAATTCTTCACTCATCACAATATTCCATGGCTCCAAATCATTTGACATATCTATTCAAAAATAATAATAATTCCAATTGAATTCCCTCTATCAAATTATAAACTTGCTTAAAGTACATTGTCATGGACAATATATATATTTCTGTGCTCATAGCATATTCAGCTTCTATGTTTCTATTTTTCTCCTGAAGGACTCCATTCTGAATGCCTGTCACCGTGGTTGCCGTCTTTACTCCATCTGTCAGTTTGTGAATGGAAATGCTGGCTTCAACACCAGCAGGGATGAGTGTCAAGGAGGTAAGGTCGCCGGACTCACAGGGTGGGGTCTCAATGAAGCCAGGGCAGCCTATCACCAAGAGCAGAGGTCCTACCTATGATCCACTTTACATTTTAGTCATTTAGCAGACGCTCTTATCCAGAGCGATTTACAGTTAGTGAGTGCATACATTTTCATACTGGCCCCCTGTGGGAATTGAACCCACAACCCTGGCATTGCAAGTGCCATGCTCTACCAACTGAGCTACACGGGACATGGCACAAGTAAAGGGGGGCTTTCCTCTTTTGTTCTCTATTGCTCCTCTAATGTTCCTCAACCAAGGGGGGAGGCTGCTGACATCACATTTGACCATCAGACCAATTCCTTGAATGCTCTACTCCTTGAACTTTGCAGTTGTATTATTTAATTTTTTTACCCTTTAGTGTGTGTCATTTACTGTAGTTATACTTGGGATATCGCTTTCAACAGTAAAAGTTCAAAAGTAATGTGTGTGTGTGTGTGTGTGGCTCAACTGAAGCTGTGCTTGCTTATTGAAAATCCTGTGATCTGCTATCCTCCTTGGTCCAGGCAGCAGTTGCCCAAATGTTCTGATATGGATGACTGTAGGGGGGGGGGGTGAATAGGGATGCAATGACAGATGCTGTGTCTTTTCTCCACCCTATCTCTCTATCTCTCTGTCCTTCTTTCTCTCCTCTGCCCTCCCATCTCTCTCTCCCTCTCTCTCTCTATCTCTCTCCCCCTTTCTCTCTCTGTAGCCTGCCAGGAAGCGTACAGCAAGCTGCTGGAGCAGGAGTCATGCAGCACCGGCTGTGCCAGCCAGCCCTCTGAACCTGAGATCAAGAGGAGGAAGGTGAGCACGGTCACTCCATAGGCATTCAGCAGGACAAACACACACACACACACACCCTCATACACCCTCATACATCCTCATACATTCACACTAGCAACAGTCATCAAAATTGTTATAAGGTTTTAAGGCCAGGCACCACACACTAATAGGGATTTTTTAAAAACTTAATCATATCACAATCAGCTTTTACCAGTTGAATGTAGACACAAATAATATACTTTTCTATATTAAAATGTTTCTGAAATATTGTATTAAAATATGCAAATTAGGCGATGTCTCATTAAATATTGTATGTGCCTATTTGCATACCACACAAATTCATTTTTATGGACACTGGATGAAGTCAGCCTAAATATTTTTGTTTCATTTTGTTAACACTCCAGAGCAGATTGTGGATGAATACTTTGTAAAATACTAAAGACATTTTTCCAAATAAAATGTTATCTAGAATAAAACATTGACAGCATATTCCCTCTGGGCAAGTCTGGAGAATATATCTAAGGATAACCACACACAATGTGGTGAATGGAGATGCTTCTGAAGCTGAGAGAAATTAGTTGGTGTGCGGGAAGAGTCTGACTTTCGGGAAATGGCAGTTAAAGACAAGTACACTGAATTTAGACTACCAAATGCACCAAATGCCTATTTAGACCCAATTACATTTACATTTTAGTCATTTAGCAGACGCTCTTATCCAGAGCGACTTACAGGAGCAATTAGGGTTAAGTGCCTTGCTCAAGGGGATTAGAACCAGCGACCTTTCGGTTACTGGCACAACGCTCTTAACCACTAAGCTACCTGCCGCCCCTGTCAATCACCATCTCTTCAAAGTAAGTTACTAAATGTAGTCCAGTTTGTAACATTCTCTATGAAATGAGCTTTAAAATATGTGTAAATCAATGAGGTGAGCTTTGAAATTATTGATGTATGTCCATTTTAAAGTGGTTAAAATTAATACATATTTTGATGACGGTAGTATGATAAACTAAAGAAAATATACATTTTCATCAAGATTGACATTTTTATGTTTACTTTTTGAAAATACTAATATTAATAATGGACCAAAATACCAACACATCTCAAAATTGATAGGTAGATGCAAAAATGTCATTTCAGCCTGTGGTGCCTGGCCTTAAAAACAATTCTAAATGCAACAGTTCAAATGTTTATAATCCAACAGATATTGACTGAATTATAGCACATAAAACATTTTACTGGCACGGACAAATAATGTATTGCATATATGAATAAACCAAACACTTGCTCTGTCTACGCTACCTGCACTCACCTGCGCTCTCTACACTGCCTCATTAATTACTGTCGTTGTCACTTTCTCTTGCATAATTTAACAAATGTGTCAATAGCAGGATACCCTTGGATTAAAAATCAACACGCTTGGCTCTAGTTTACACATATCTAAACATACATTACATTGTTTGCAAGATCAGACATAATATCACTATAATCCAAGTGTTCATTTTCTGAAATTGGTTTTTATTTCAGCGCATCTAATTTGTAAAAACATTTCAACTGTATTAAATTAAAACTTATTTAAATTACACAAAAGATGAACACCCATCAAAATAAAGTTATCTTCTCTTTCTTTTAATGTAAGTGTTGAGATGGTGCGTTAAATCCCAGATGCCGCTTTAGCGTTCTTATAGATTCAACGGAAAGACAATATATTCCATTGAGCCCATTTCAGCCATTACCGTGGTGTGTTTGATAGGTCATTACAAACACTTACACGGTCGTAAGGTTAACGGGAAAAAACAACAGGCACAAGCAAGAGTATGAAAGTCGCAGGAATAAAATGAAAGTAATCAATCTAGCGAGATTTAACTGACAAGTGGATTTTGCACCCCTCAAACAGCGAGGCATTTGCGTTGCTATTCACACTGTCTCTCTCTTTCACGTCCATTCTTACACAATCCCCCTTGCCCCCCATACACCTTCACACTCTCTCCTCACATGACTTTGCCTTATTAAATAAATGCACCTAAACTCAACAGTTCCACCTTTTATTACCCGCAGCTGAAGGCCATGGCCCACCGTCCCATGCCCCCCTCCGTCATAGACACCGTGTCCAGCTGGTGTAACGACATCGTCAGCTCTGCACAGAGCTTCATCTCCTCTACTTGGACCTTCTACCTGCAGGGTGACGACGGCAAGGTGCTCATCTTCCAGGTGAGACACTGTCAGGGTGCCGCAGACAGGACTCAAGTTACACAGGACTCAGTGACTCTTAGGGGTGCTGTGATTCGTTTTGGGAGTGTCTTTCACTCCAGGGTACAGCTGTAACCCAAACCTTGGGGGCTACAAAGGTCAACTTGCCTCAAACATAAGGGGGAAAGGGTGTGGGATCAGTACTGTACATATTTACTTTATCGGTGACGGCTAAGTCAAGACAGGCTGGCTGAATCTATATAGAAGGACAACAGAGATCTGTTAATCCAGTCATAGAAAGAGATGTGGTGAGACGACATGAAATGACGAAAAAAACAGTCTTCATGCGATTGTTTTTCTTTAGCCTTAGGGGTGATGGATGGATGCGTGTGGTTTATGGCAGTGACATGCAAGCAGAGGCAAGAGCAGGCTCCACAGGCTCTGATCTGGCTAGGGGGCCTGTGTTTAGTGGGCATCTGGCTGGCTGCCACCCTCTTGACAGATTGACTGGGGGAAAGAAACAGAAAAACACTAAGGCTGAGGGACAGCTGAAAGAGAAGCCAAGCCACCGCTGCAATACTAATCACTACTGCAGATGTTCAGAGTGAGTGGGTTCTATAGAGCAGAGGGTTGGGTAGGAAGCCAGGGTGTATGGACTCACTAGGAGGATGATGGTGACTCGTAGCCTTAGGTGTGATACAAAACGAACAGGAAAGAGTTGAGACCCACTGTGGTAGCAGTTTATCCACGTTATGTAGCAGTTTTAGTAAGTTCTCAAAGAGGGCCATTCAAGGCAACACAGTGCACTACTGGAGCTGAAGTGAATCGGACCAAAACAAATTGATTATCAAGTTCCTCTGACTTTGCAAGAGTTAGTGAGAGAGCCACCTTGTGGAATGAATGGCGCTTGGTCTTCATGCAGTGTTCAGTATAACATGTTTATTTGGGCCAAGGGATTTCTATTTGAATTACTTCACAGTGGAATTATTTCAGTTAATTACTTCAGTTAATCAGTCATTTGAAAAAATAAGACTTTTACTTCAGTAAGCAGCAAATGTAGGTGTATTTTGCTAGGGTGATACCCAAAACTAAGCTCAAAATAACTAAGACTCTATTTCCAAGAGTTATCAAGTCTTTAGCATACAGGGCTAATGTGGTATTGAGTCACACAAATGTCTGGAGATTGATACCTGGTCCATTACTTTTAGGATTTAGCTCAAAGGGATAACATAGCACACAAAGACAATCTGGGTTCTATATCAATGTGGGATACCCACTCATATTTCCAAAAAGTTTGTGTATTTGGATGCAACTGTGATAAGAGCAGCTTCTCTGATTGCTCCAGGCAAGCCACCTGTGTCTGAGGGAGGCGGTCTGAGTCTCAGTCCCGCAAGCGGCAGATTCTCCCTTCCTCAGCTCCCTTTAGCTGTCTCTCAGAGTGGGCTGAGCTCCAGCTATGGGAACATCCATCCCTCTCCTGCCCACATTTGACGTGGTTAATTGGCAGCCTCCTTCTTAATCACGCTTATTCATGCCATCCCAGCCTCCCAGTGTTTCAGGAGTGCTCCTCCAAGGTAATCAGAGAAAATCAAGCGGTTTCCTCTGGGCTGAGAGGGAGTAAACACAGCCGACGCGGCCCTCTCATCACTGATTGGGGGAGAGCGCTTGTTTGGAAATGGGGTTGGAGTCTTGTTTAAATTCTTTCCGTGTCCAACATGCACACGATGCATGGTCCCCCCTTGAAGGAAACAGGGAGATATGTAAATCTATGAAATCCCCCTTCTTAAGAAGAAAGTGACCCCAAATAACCCCAAAATACCAAATAAGGGAAGGGAGATTGTTAATTTGGAAAATGATCCCTCTTCCCTGTTGCTCTCTGTGTCTCTATAGCCAGAGCACCTTTGGCATTCTGTGCCATAATGCATGACAGATGTAAATCAGGAGGAAGGCCTACGCTTACTAATGGAAAGATCTCCCCAGTCGGCAGCCAATAACTACTAACATCCTTAGATGTTCACTCTACTCTTCCTGTTGCCTTTCCCCCCAATGTTACATCTGGATTCAATGCTTTCAGTAAAAGCATTGCTATCGATAAAACTGGTTGTGAAATGACTTTGAAAATAACAATAGTGAATATCTATGACCTTTTGTAAGACCAAGCCTTATTGTCTGAGTGTACACTGAGTGTACAAAACATTAGGAACACCTGCTCTTTTCATGACATAGACTGACCAGGTGAAAGCTATGATCCCTTATTGATGTCACTTGTTAAATCCACTTCAATCAGTGTAGATGGAGGTGAGCAGACAGGTTAAAGAAGGATTTTAAAGTCTTGAGACCATTGAGACATGGATTGTGTATGTGTGCCATTCAGAGGGTGAATGGGCAAGACAACAGATGAAAGAAAACATGGAAAGTGCCTTTGAACAGGGTATGGTAGTAGGTTATTTAAGCGCCTTTGAACAGGGTATGGTAGTAGGTTATTTAAGAGCCTTTGAACAGGGTATGGTAGTAGGTTATTTAAGTGCCTTTGAACAGGGTATGGTAGTAGGTTATTTAAGTGCCTTTGAACAGGGTATGGTAGTAGGTTATTTAAGTGCCTTTGAACAGGGTATGGTAGTAGGTTATTTAAGTGCCTTTGAACAGGGTATGGTAGTAGGTGCCAAGCACACCAGTTTGCGTCAAGAACTGCAACGCTGCTGGGTTTTTCACACTCAACAGTTTCCCGTAATATCAAGAATGGTCCACCACGCAAAGGACATCCAGTTAACTTGACACAACTGTGGGAAGCATTGGAGTCAATATGGGCCAGCATCCATCCCTGTGGAACGCTTTCGACACCTTGTAGAGTCCATGCACCGACGAATTGAGGCTGTTCTGAGGGCAAAAGGGATGACATACTCACTGTATGTCATCTCAGTTAAATAACTTTTCTACTTGTTTCATTTTTTCTTTTTTGTTTGAGATTTGTTTTGACTCTTATGAACTCAAGTTCATTAACCTGTAGACTATTCAAACGCTGATTGGTAAGTTTTCTTTTCAGTTTTCATAACTATTGACTTATGTCATTAAATCTGATCTATTTGCCATCTATGAAGAGAGGAGAGGCTGATCAGATACTTTGCTTATTTGTTTTGGTGCTACAGTGAGACATTACACAACTTCTTAAAGGGTATTCCTATTGATCAGCTGAAATGTCAGAATCACTCAGCAGCAAAGAGTCTCCTCTTAACTCCAATACAAATAAAATAAAATCTAAGTTTATTGGTCGCGTACACATATTTGCAGATGTTATCGCAGGTGCAGCAAATGCTTGTGTTTCTAGCTCCAACAGTGCTGTAATAACTAGCAATAAAAACAACAATACACAAATAATCCAGAAAAATACAAAATATGTTATATAGGAAGAGCCATGACTAGAATACAGTATATTCATATAAAGTGGGTGAAACAGTATGTAAACATTATTAAAGTGACAAGTGTTCAATGACTCTATGTACATAGGGCAGCAGTCTCTAAGGTGCCGGGTAGAGTACCGGGTGGTAGCCGGCTAGAACTGTTCAGGGCAGGATACTGGGTGGAGGCTGGCTAGTGGTGACTGTTTAACAGGCTGATGGCCTGGAGATAGAAGCTGGTTCTCAGTCTCTCGGTCCCAGCTTTGATGCACCTGTACTGTCTCCACCTTCTACAGTGGGGAAAAAAAGTATTTAGTCAGCCACCAATTGTGCAAGTTCTCCCACTTAAAAAGATGAGAGAGGCCTGTAATTTTCATCATAGGTACATGTCAACTATGACAGACAAATTGAGAAAAAAAAATCCAGAAAATCACATTGTAGGATTTTTAATGAATTTATTTGCAAATGATGTTGCAAAATAAGTATTTGGTCACCTACAAACAAGCAAGATTTCTGGCTCTAACAGACCTGTAACTTCTTTTTTAAGAGGCTCCTCTGTCCTCCAATCGTTACCTGTATTAATGGCACCTGTTTGAACTTGTTATCAGTATAAAAGACACCTGTCCACCATCTCAAACAGTCACACTCCAAACTCCACTATGGCCAAGACCAAAGACCTGTCAAAGGACACCAGAAACAACATTGTAGACCTGCACCAGGCTGGGAAGACTGAATCTGCAATAGGTAAGCAGCTTGGTTTGAAGAAATCAACTGTGGGAGCAATTATTAGGAAATGGAAGACATACAAGACCACTGATAATCTCCCTCGATCTGGGGCTCCACGCAAGATCTCACCCCGTGGGGTCAAAATGATCACAAGAACGGTGAGCAAAAATCCCAGAACCACACGGGGGGACCTAGTGAATGACCTGCAGAGAGCTGGGACCAAAGTAACAAAGCCTACCATCAGTAACACACTACGCCGCCAGGGACTCAAATCATGCAGTGCCAGACGTGTCCCCCTGCTTAAGCCAGTACATGTCCAGGCCCGTCTGAAGTTTGCTAGAGTGCATTTGGATGATCCAAAAGAGGATTGGGAGAATGTCATATGGTCAGATGAAACCAAAATATAACTTTTTGGTAAAAACTCAACTCGTCGTGTTTGGAGGACAAAGAATGCTGAGTTGCATCCAAAGAACACCATACCTACTGTGAAGCATGGGAGTGGAAACATCATGCTTTGGGGCTGTTTTTCTGCAAAGGGACCAGGACGACTGATCCGTGTAAAGGAAAGAATGAATGGGGCCATGTATCGTGAGATTTTGAGTGAAAACCTCCTTCCATCAGCAAGGGCATTGAAGATAAAACGTGGCTGGGTCTTTCAGCATGACAATGATCCCAAACACACCGCCCGGGCAACGAAGGAGTGGCTTCGTAAGAAGCATTTCAAGGTCCTGGAGTGGCCTAGCCAATCTCCAGATCTCAACCCCATAGAAAATCTTTGGAGGGAGTTGAAAGTCCGTGTTGCCCAGCGACAGCCCCAAAACATCACTGTTCTAGAGGAGATCTGCATGGAGTAATGGGCCATAATACCAGCAACAGTGTGTGAAAACCTTGTGAAGACTT